TAAAATAAAATAATCTAATAAAACTGCATTGACGTAGATACGTTGTGCCTCTTCACCTATACATTTGAGTTCTTACTCTTTCACTTAAATCCTAAAAACTTAGATCTTATATTTAAAACTTTATCCAAAACCTTTCCCCTCTATGACCTCTCGAGGTTCTAATAGAGGGTAACAGGTTGCAGAGAGGCCTAGCCCGGCCGGGGAGTGTGGAATGCAGTCACTGACCCACTCCTATACCTCTAACCAAATTCAGGTTCCAGTGGGGACCTCTCTCCCTGCGTGTGCCTCTCCACCTCCGTTTCCTACTTCTTACTTGCTAACCTTTTCCCTCAACCTATCCTAAGGGAGTGCATGTATGTAGACACGTTAGTTTAGCTGCTATAGGCTTGGACTGTCGGGGGGCTCCTTACTCCGTCTTTCTGGCTGTTTGTACCTGTGTACTCTCATGTTCCGATTAACCCAGTTTCCCCCAAATCTCTTTTTTGTGTCTATATCTACGCCGGGATCCTGAGTCGAGGCTAATCCTGTTGCTGTGGTCCTGTGTCCTGGATCCTCTATCCTGAGTACTGGATCTGAGTCCTGGACTTCGAGTCGTGGCTGAACCGGTCTCTGCGGTCCTGCCTGACTCTCATCATACTACTTCCTTGATGGCTCCCACAGGATTGCTGACATCCTCGTGGATTCATCTTCCTATTATACACACATGCATTTCCAAACATTTGGACTACCTATGTTGTAAATGTATTATCTTTTCAATTTACACACGGCATCTATTGCACGTCTGTCCGTCCTGGGAGAGGGATCCCTCCTCTGTTGCTCTCCCTGAGGTTTCTTCCATTTTTCCCTTTAAACTGTGGGTTTTCTCCGGAAGTGTTTCCTTGTACGATGTGAGGGTCTAAGGACAGAGGGTGTCGTATTGTCATACTGATATTCTGTACACACTGTGAAGTCCACTGAGACAAATGTAACATTTGTGATATTGGGCTATATAAATAAACATTGATTGATTGATTGAACATTCACTTTTCTCTGCTTTGTGTGTGTTTGGCAGGGTTGTCGCTTGCTTCGTGAGAGATTACAAAAGGGTCTTCGCTGACCTCAGCTCTCAGACCCTAATAAGGTTAAACCACAGACACTAAGGTGACAAGAAGTTTAAACCCTTTCTTACCTTTGTCACCGCTTGTAATGAAAAACATCTAATCAATAATGTAATTAGAATTACGCAATAGCACAACTCTTCCCTTTCATTATCACAACAATGACACAGTGGAAACATGTCATATTGTATTCCACGTTGTGTTTCATACACAAAGACCCTTTGCACACATTACGTGATGGAATATTGAATTATTTTACTTTTTATACAAAGTTTATCAGCTGATATATTGATGTTTTGCTTCTTTCTGTAAAACAACGGAATATTCGTTTTCTTCTTCTTCCTCGAAGCTGACATTAAAACATCTGCAATCTAATTGGTTACTTATTACAGATTCAGATGATTAACTAATACAAATATAGATCATGTTATATAAATAACAATGCAATTCGGCGACAAGCGAGGGAAAGTGACGTCATCCCCATTCAAAGTCAATGGGCGGAGACGCGCTGGAAGCGGTGGACAAATCGCCAAAAGCTGCTGTGTGGACGGGCCGTAACTTGTACTTATATAAAGCATCACTTTGACTATCAGTCTTAACAAAAAGCTCAACACATATTTGTACAAATTCACCTTTTTAGAAGCTTTCTCAATGCACTTCATCTTAAACTGTCACCTGATTTTGTGTTATTATTATTATTATCCCATCGCTGTCATTACTATATGTTAAATTACAGGGGAATTTGCACTATCTTCCCTTTAATGCACTATTTTATTGTTGTTTTCTTTATGTATTTGTTGAATGTCTACTGTTTTTATATTTATTTGTATGTATTTTACTGGTAACTGTATTCTATGTGATATCAATTATTCTGTGACTTTTTAAAGAGATGTCAACTGTCTACTGTGAAGCCCCTAGGACTGGGATTCTTGTATTAAAGGTGCAATGTTATTTATTTACTTTAATTTGGTTTAATTTATTTTTGTTGTGTTTAATTTATTTGTTTCAATGTATTTTTAGTTTTATTTGATTTCATGCAAGTTCATCGAAGTTAAGGAAAGAGCAGTTCAATATATGATCAATAGCATGAACCACATAAATAACATGGACCTCTTCTGTGTCTCAATTTGATCGCCAGTCCCGTCACGAGTCACCTTTCCTTTGTAAAATACATCACCTTGGTCTTATTGAAATGTCATGGTCAGTTTAGTGTGTACGCTTTTCATTTTCACAGCAATTATATCTACAAAAGCTCCATGCGACAATTCATCCAGAGAAATGGGAACAAGCTTTTGAATTGGAGAGAAAGCACCAGTGTGCAAAGTGTGAAAGTAATAATATGAGATGAGGATTGGAAGCTCTTTAGGTATATTCTAAAGAAGAAGTGGAGGTCACTCATCGTCACCCCTCTCCTCCCACATCCTCCCACCCAAGGTCCCAATAATTACTGAGGGAAAGAAGAATTACATACAGACTAAACGACTAAAAGTCGTTTTTTCTGTAAATATATTATCATAATTGTTGTATAATATGCTATAAAATAGTCATTGGATATTATGATATCAAAAAGTCATAGAATATTTCTATTTCAGTCAGACAACTCACGTGTTTCTTAATATATTTATTAGAAGCAGATTGAGTTTGGCGTCTAGGCTCGGGCCTCATCACTCCACAGATTAACAAAGAACATTGAGTGATGATTAGATAACTATCCCCCGAGCCTACAGGTGGAAGCTGGGGTGGTGGGGGGGCAGGCGAGCAGCAGCAACATGAAACACAGCAGCAGGAACATGAACGTAGCAATAGCAAGTGAACAGCAGTGGCAGCAGCAGCTAGCGAGGAGGCAGAGGCAGGAAGACCTGGCAGCTTCAATAGAGCGGCATGTTAAGGAGAATGTGTTTGGTTGGTTGTAAGAGGGACGAGGTGCGTCACGTGTTAATGTATCATTGGTGCTCGAGTTGACTGCCTGAACTAGCTCGCAGGCTTCGCCCCATATGTCGTATATTATGTCATAAAGAAAGTCAAAATATAGTATGCCGTAAAAAAAGTCATGGTATAGTACGTCAAAGTTATAGTATGGTATGTTATAAAAAAAGTTGTATGGTATGTAATGAAAACTCACAGTATCATAAAATAGTCATAGTGTAGTGTGTTACACTGAACAAAAATATAAACGCAACACTTTTGTTTTTGCTCCCATTTTTCATGAGATGAACTCAAAGATCTAAAACATTTTCTAGATACACAAAATAACCATTTCTCTCAAATATTGTTCACAAATCTGAAAAAACTGTGATAGTGAGCACTTCTCCTTTGCCGAGATAATCCATCCCACCTCACAGGTGTGGCATATCAAGATGCTGATTAAGACAGCATGATTATTGCACAGGTGTGCCTTAGGCTGGCCACAATAAAAGGCCACTCTGAAACGTGCATTTTTGCTTTATTGGGGGGGGTCTGGGGGGGGTCCGAAAACCAGTCAGTATCTGGTGTATCCATTTGCCTCACGCAGTGCAACACATCTCCTTCGCATTGAGTTGATCAGGTTGTTGATTGTGGCCTGTGGAATGTTGGTCCACTCCTCTTCAATGGCTGTGCCAAGCTGCTGGATATTGGCAGGAACTGGAACACGCTGTCGTATACGCCGATCCAGAGCATCCCAAACATGCTCAATGGGTGACATGTCCGGTGAGTATGCTGGCCATGCAAGAACTGGGATGTTTTCAGCCTCCAGGAATTGTGTACAGATCCTTGCAACATGGGGCCGTGCATTATCATGCTGCAACATGAGGTGATGGTCGTGGATGAATGGCACAACAATGGGCCTCAGGATCTCTTCACGGTATCTCTGTGCATTCACAATGCCATCAATAAAATGCACCTGTGTTCGTCGTCCACAACATACGCCTGCCCATACCATAACCCCACCACCACCATGGGCCACTCGATTCACAACATTGACATCAGAAAACCGCTCACCCACACGACGCCACACACGCTGTCTGCCATCTGCCCTGAACAGTGAAAACCGGGATTCATCTGTGAAGAGAACACCTCTCCAACGTGCCAGACGCCATCGAATGTGAGCATTTGCCCACTCAAGTCGGTTACGACGACGAACCGGAGTCAGGTCGAGACCCCGATGAGGACGACGAGCATGCAGATGAGCTTCCCTGAGACGGTTTCTGACAGTTTGTGCAGAAATTCTTTGGTTATGCAAACCGATTGTTGCAGCAGCTGTCCGAGTGGCTGGTCTCAGACGATCTTGAGTGAACATGCTGGATGTGGAGGTCCTGGGCTGGTGTGGTTACACGTGGTCTGCGGTTGTGAGGCCGGTTGGATGTACTGCCACATTCTCTGAAACGCCTTTGGAGACGGCTTATGGTAGAGAAATGAACATTCAACTCACGGGCAACAGCTCTGGTGGACATTCCTGCTGTCAGCATGCCAATTGCACGCTCCCTCAAAACTTGCGACATCTGTGGCATTGTGCTGTGTGATAAAACTGAACATTTTAGAGTGGCCTTTTATTGTGGTCAGCCTAAGGCACACCTGTGCAATAATCATGCTGTCTAATCAGCATCTTGATATGCCACACCTGTGAGGTGGGATGGATTATCTCGGCAAAGGAGAAGTGCTCACTATCACAGATTTTTTTCAGATTTGTGAACAATATTTGAGAGAAATGGTTATTTTGTGTAAATAGAAAATGTTTTAGATCTTTGAGTTCATCTCATGAAAAATGGGAGCAAAAACTAAAGTGTTGCATTTATATTTGTGTTCAGTGTATAAAAGATCCTCTATCTATCCATCTATCTTCACCACTCTCTATCAAACTAACCTTTTATTTCCAAGCAGGAGATTTGTGAGGGAAAACAAACAGAAGTCACTTCAGGAAACACATTTTCACTTCAATGTTTTTATTTATCGCGCAACATGAAACAATATTGTGGGGTTTTTACCACATACACTATGTATTCACATAATACACCATACAGCTACAAAGAGAGAGAGACTGAACAAAAACACTTTTTTTTTTTACATACTGCATCCTTGACATGAAAAATAAAGAACCAAGAACAATCCTAAAACTCAGAAAGGAATGTAGCTGCCGTTGTGTAGGTTCATCTTTTTTTATCGTACGGGGCCAGAGTCCAAGTCTCAAAATTCAGAGAGTGTTCAACAATTAAATTATGTGTCCTTTAAAAGTGGGCCATACACAGTGAGATGTAAATCTGTGTGTGAATGTGTGAGACAAAATATACAAGGTGTGAGGAATAAAAAGAGGGGGTGAGTAGAGGAAGTGCATGAACAGGGAGAGGAAGGGAGGTTCTTGTTTTAACATATTCAGTTAGTACATTTCAAGAGCCTTTGGTTCTTGCGCTGCACCAAACCCGGATAACAGTCTCCATTATGATTCTATATCTTATCCTAGTTTGAATGACTTCAAGTACAATATGCAATGAATATTAATCAGAGAATATGAGCTGTTTGAGCGCCCCCCTGGCCTCACAAAGAGATGTACATTTGTAGCATTGTAATAAAAGACTTTTCACAAAGTCAGCACCAGGGCAGCTTCCCCTCATGTGAAACTGCTTGAATCAAAAGTATACTTCTCCTGACATTCGAAGAGCTCAGAAAAATATTTGTGGTATCATTTTTCCCCTCGCAAATTTACTTTTTTAGTTTTTTTTAAACACAGTGAATTTCAAGGTGTAGCTTCATAGCACCAGCTTACCAACCCCCGAATCTCAGAACCATAGAAATGTACAAAGTTATTAAGATATCACATACACTGTATCCTCAGCACCAATCGTTAGGCAAGTGTGTGTCTCTGTGTGTGTGTGTAATGTGGGCCATGCATTAGGGCTAAAGAGTAACATTGCACCAGTGAAACTACCGTTGTTCATGATTTTTGATCAATTGTTACAAGCTAAACACAGGGGCGTCATGATTTGTATGCCAAGTTCATACGTACTAGTATGCGAGCTATAGTAGATAATCGTAGATACGTTCAAACGCGCAGGGAGGCCGTCTCTTTCCTGATAGGCTAACACAACTGACAAAGATACCTGGGCTTATTACTTGCTAAAACATCGCCCACTGATCCCTTCAGACTGACTGCAAATCCCTTACACCCCCCCTCTGGATGTGGTCCTGCACATGATCCACGGTCAAATGAATAAAGGGAAACTCTTCTGATATTCGGGGGAAAAGTTTGAAAGAGAGATGAGAAGATGGATGTAACTCAATTCTGTACGCAGCTAGTTAGCTTAGCATTAAGATAGGAAACAGCTAGCATGGCCTCTATAAACGTATAAAGCTACATTGGTTAATCCAAACCCGGAGTTTGTTCCTGTCAGTGTTACACTCTGCACTAAGATGATTGTATTTGTTTGATCTATGTGGTAAAAATCGAGTTGTTTCAAATACACCATTAGGCCAAATGATTTAAGTTGTTAGCTTTCTTTTAAAAAGACAAAATGCACGGGTAAAAGCATTTGAACAAATCGTCTATCATTGAAAAATGAAACATTAACACCTATTTGTTCTTATGGTTATAACTTGCATACGATTTTATTCCTTGAAATATGAATAATTTCAAACCTATTGTAGAATAACCATGATAGTTGTCCATCCTTATGCTAAGATAAGTTTGCTCGAGCTCCATATCTAACATCTCATCTTCTCTTCTAACTCTCTGAAAGTGAACAGGCAGATTTCCCATAACGTCACACTGCTCCTTTAAACCACAAGCTGCTCCAATCACATGTACGGCTCCCTTTTAAGATGTTTAAACACAATTAAAAAAGTGTTTTAAGCTTCTTAAATACTTGTTGTTGTAGACGGTGTGGTCACTGTGGGGGAACCTCCAGTTGTTTAAAGGGAAGTGTAGTTTCATGCTTTCATTATGAGTTAGTTTGAGAGAGGGAGGGGTCTCTGTCAGTTGACATGCTGACGAGGGGTACAGTACTAAGGAAAGCAAACAGCAGTGTTACTAAGCACACATTTACACACAACACACTGTTGTTGAGGGCTGTCAGAGACTTCAAAATACCCCCCTGTCATTCATGGTTTAGTTACTATCCTCACCAGTTAAATAATCTTACCTAAATATTTTAATATTTACATTTTTATCTCTCTCTTGAGAAAAAAAACAAAAGAACAAAAAAACTAAGCTTCAAGTTGTCAATAACCGGCTCTTTCTTTTCGTCATTAAAATCAAGATTAAAAGTGCTTTTATAAATCTTTTCTTCTCTATGTACAATTTGTATTAGCTATATAAAAAAACAAAGACGAAAAAAAAAACATCAAAGACAATCATCATCATCATCATCATCACCATGTAGTAATAAATAAGAGTACAAAATAAAAAAGGAGGTTTAAAATGAGTGTGGAGATCGTGAGCGTGTCTCGGCCCTCAGTAGCACGTTGTGATTGTGATACAGTGTCTCTGCAGAGAGGACAGAGCTGGAGACGCTCAGAGAGGTAACACCACCCCCCAGCATCCAGGAGTTAGCCTGTTCCCAAATCTATTACTCGCTCACTTTCATTGCAAGTAAACCATGTGACCGTTTGAATTCAAATGGATCACGTGGTTGCTGCCTGAAATCTAAAAGGAGTGATTCTATCCATCAGATAGTCTCTCTCTTTGGCTTTTCTCTCCACGCACCCTGGCATTTGAGTCATTTTCAGACTCAATGCACTTGGCGCCAACTCCTAGAAGCTATAGTCGTTTGTTTCCAAGGTTTCCTTTCTTTCTATTTCTCTGTCAACGGTTTACTACTTATGCACCAAATGATTTCTCAGCCATAATAAAAGCACCTCAAAATAAACCAGAGACTCCCACTTTGATTAACAGGCTCTGTGGTGCCTGCTGAAGGACGCACCCCCAACCCCCCCCCACCCCCCCCCCCTCTGCTCGAAGATGACAGCACCATGCAGAGGGAAGGCCCTTCACAGTAAATCAAGTTTGATAGGAGAGCACCAGAGTGTGTAGGAGCACCACTATCAGGTCTGAAGCAAACCCAGGAGGGGCATCTCTAGACGTTATTCACATTTGTGCCACAAGGAGACAACTTTTACCTCTAGCTGCATTTCAAAGGCCCATGCACGGTCAGCAGGAAGGGAGCGAGACCCCCCCCTGCTGGCGGTGGATGGGTAAAGCAGCAATGCAAGGCTCTAATGGTGCTTGCAGGATGTTTGTACACACCGCTTTGACACTGCTGCCCTCTAGAGCTTACACAGAGAGATGCTCACCACTACTTGAATGTAATAGGAAGAAAACGTGTGCCACCAGTTCTGTCTCTGTGCGGTAGAAGTTGCAGATCTGGGTCAAGTGGCATTTGCAAAAAGTGTCACTTATGTCAGCCTCTGTGGGGCAACAGATGTGTAAAGTTACAGGAACAAATGGCAAGCAAACGATTCCTTTTGCACAAAGGACAAAGCATTACATCATCACTCAATCAATCGATTCACTTGCCAACGCTATTTGAGCCAGATTAGAGTCAGAGCACCGAAGCACAGCATCAAGTGCCATGAAGAGTAGCTGAAGGAATGACAATCGATCAGAGCTGGAAGTTGAGCACCAGTTGGAAAAAGCTGGAGGGGTGCAGAAGAGGAGGAGCACGTCATCTAACGGCAAGCAGCTTTCTGTCCGAATGTGGGTTAAAATGTCAATTGCTATTGTTCTAACCTGGGCATTGTTTGATTTGGATTCACTTCAGTTTTAGAGTGCTAGGGGATCAAAAGCAAGCGCTGCTCTTCAGCTCTAACATCAGAGACGCAGCCTGTTCATGTGTCCTACTTCTTACTGCGACCACATCAAAAAGGTCAACATTAAAGTCCAATTGTTTGTGCAACTAAAACTGTTATTTCCACTAGACTGCTTTGACAGCAGAAACCACTTCTATTGATCAGACAACAACAGAACATGTTCTTGTTGCAAATGATGCTAGGAAAATGCAAATGGTAAACATTTGAAGTATATGCAAGTGCCGGGTAATAGCAAATATAATATAATGTATTCGACAAAAGTGCTGCTGGTGCACTGAATCATTCCAGGTAATGACATTTGAATATTAAACACAAGTTGATAACAATTGCAATGATCTTTTATCGAAGTCTAAACTGCCTTGAATTCAAAGATACGTATCTGTTTATTAGACCTCTAAAGATAGGTATCTAAGGCTTTGTTTGTGTACGGATGATGACTTTGTGCGTTTCTTGCCAGGCAGATAGTGTCTCCTCCTCTTGGTACAGCTGGAAGTTTGACAAGAACAAAGACAAATCGGAAACAGAAACAAAAGGTTACATGTTTTCCAAACACGGAAAAAGCAAATGTCTGACGGACTCAGACTGATTGATTTAAAAAAACATAACCAAAACAAACAAACAATCACATCATTAATAATAACATTAATGACAACAGCAATAATAAAAAAAAACAAGTCTTCATTATAATAATACCTGTAATAACAACATTGACAGTAACAATAGCAATCATAATTATATTGATAATAATAGCAATAATTTGAATCATTACAATTCTATGAACAAGAAAAAGCAAATGGAGTTCCTCTCCGGGGACGAGAGAGGCAGAGCACCACAGGCAGCGTGTCGGAAACACCTGCCTGACATGAGGTAAAAAACAATAAAAACATCCCCTCCTCCAAGTGGACTGTGAAGGGGGGGGGAGATGCCAGACTGCAGGACGGCTGAGAGACATTCATCCACCCTGCGCTGCTCCACCGTCAGTGTGTGTGAACGTCCGCCCTCAGACAAAGTGGCTGTAGGGCCCAGTGAGGCGGGTGAAGGCATAGGGAGACACAGTCACCATGGAGGAGGTGTGGCAAGTGGGGGCTAACCGCGTCACCGGCCCCTCCCTGTTGTCTTTAGATTGTCCCGGTCCTGGGCTGGCGCCGGCCGCCGTCGTCCCCCACTTGCGCTTCTTCGAGAGTGCCTTGATCTCCTCCTGCGAGAGGCCGAGCAGCGCGCCCTCCAGCTGCCGCTGCCGCGCCCGCTCCGCCAGCAGCTTCATCTTGGCCTCCCAGATGGCCAGGCCGTGGTTGGGCTGGTTCAGGTTCTTGTGCTGGTAGAAGACCAGGGAGATGCGCGTGGGGTGGGAGCGATCGGGCTTTTTGAGCGGAGTGGTGGCGTGCAGCTCCCGCCGAGCGCACTCGATCAGGATGGAGCCGTGGGTCGGGGCGACCGCCACACCCCCGATGTTGTTGTCCAGGAAGTTGTGCTCGCTGTCGGACCACTCGTCCTCGTCGCGGTCCTTGTTGCTCTCGGCGTCGCTCTCTGCGCGGCCGGGGTTCCAGCTCGCCTGATCCGACTGCTGCAGGGCGTCGGGGAAAAGGCGGCCCTCGGGGACGGGGGACGGCGTGCTGCCCGCCAGCGAACCTCCACACGACTTCCACGATTTCTCCTGCAGCCCGAGGGGAGTGGGACACCGACTCTCCCCCGTCTTGGACCAGATCTTGTCGGGGTAAGCTCCTGCGGGGTTGCTGTGCTTCAAACCGGGCATGAACGCCGGCCCCATGGCCCACGGTGGGTTGGGCTGAGGGCTGGGGGCCGGGCTGGGCCAGTGCTGAGGTGTTCCCGGACGGGGAGACCCCTGGTGGATGTTACCCGGGAGTGCTGGGACGAGATGAGGGGACGGAGATGGAGAGGGGGGTATCTGGAGTGATGGCGACGGGGCAGGGGATGCCATCCGGGGGTTTAAGCCGGGGTAGGACGTCCACTGCTGAGGGAACGGCTGCTGCTTGTCGGGGGTCATCAGCGAGGCCTCGGGGGCGATACTCCCATTGAGCTTGTGCCCAGGCCAGGGGGCCGGCTGGGGGGTGGTGCTCGGTGTGTTAGCCTGGCTCTGCATCGGGTTCTCATACACCGGCATGTCCATAGGCTCCTGTTTGATGAGCGGCGTGCCTCTGTTGGAGGAGTCGGAGCAGACGGAGGAGTGGCGGGACTGGGTGTAGTCCGCAGGCTGGATGTAAGCGCTGTGGTTCGGGTGGTTGGCGAGCTCGGGGGGGTTCGGGTAGGACTGCGCCAGCCGGGCCTGGAGACTCTGAACATCCGGCTTAGTGTCCACCGGGACAGGAGTGCCGCCCTGTTTGGACAAAGAGCCGTTTCGACCCTCGTAGGTCCTCAGCTTGGGGCGGAAAAGTGCATTGGCGGGGTAGTTGTAGTAGCCATAGTGCATTGCGGGCAGATTTGGGTGGAGACCGTTGACGGGGTCGGGTGCAGAGGGCTGGCCGGTGGGGGGGGGGCCTCCCCTTGCATAGTAGGCAGGGTGGGGGTACCTGCTGTTGAAGGGGTCTGCTGCCTGCACAGGGTATCCATCCATTGATCCGTTGAAGGGCTCCTTCTTGATGTTGGGCTTCACCTCTTGTTTTATAATTGCTGAAAGTTTAAAACACAAGACAAGGTCAAAACAAAACAAACTTCAAATGCATTTCAGTTTGTAATGTTAGAGCTTTCTGTTTAGTGTTAATGAGATACTTTACAATCTTTGCAAGGTTCTAATCAATTCCCAGTAAAATAATGTACTGCAACAAAGCTACCCTGGTTTGAGGAAGAGCCTTTGGTTCATTAAAACACCATTTTGGGAGAGATTAAATACCTCTTTATTCAACAAATGTACTTTTGTATTTTACAAAGCTCTTCAGTTATCTAAAATGAAACAATATCTACAAAGCCACCGCTGGAATCTAATTCTACAAATAGATGAATGTAGCCTCAATCTCCAACTGTGCAGAAAAGCCAGGTTTAGATATATGAAAGCTCTGCAGCGCTCATATATCATGAATGAATGTTGGTAGTACTATGGCTTTTAATTTGGGTTAACTTTCAATTCTCACTGGTCTGTTTTGCTTTTATTTTACATTTTAAAATCGTTTTATTTTAACCTATTTTAATTTCTTGTTAGCTTTAATTTAAGGGAATTTCATTAGGATCACTTTATGTGTTATCTTGTTCTGTATTTATTGTAATATTGTTGTTGTGTTTTCTTGTGTTAACTTTGGGCTGCTTTGTGCATGAAAGGTGCTCTACAGATAAAGTGTATTATCATTATTCCTTACAGCCCTACTGAACATCTGCTCAAACCACAATTTCATTCATGAGTACCAAAACATCATTTACCTTTATTGCCTGGGGGGTGAGGGGACCCCGTGACGCAGACCTCTGCCTTCACCACGGTTTTCTCCGGCGTCTCCCCCGCCTGCTGCAGGAGTTTGTTCTTCTTCTTCTCTGAGTTTGCCTTCTTGGCCTCCAGGCGGCGCTGTCGGCAGGACTTGGCCGGTTCGGGCAGCTTGCGCACCGGTCGTCGGAAAGCCTGCAGCACGTGGATGGCTCCCGTCTTCATCTTCATCCGCTGCCCCTCCTCGCTGCCAAACTCGTCCGTGGGAGAGATCCTGTAGAGAGGCAGCACGTGCAGCTGCTCGTCCTCAGGGACACCCTTCACCGCGCGGTTGTCCTCCTTCGTCAACGTACACACCTAAAACACAGAGAGAAGGAGAGTAGATTTAAACTATCTCTTTTGCTTTACTAAAACCACCGGACTCAGGGACAGCTTCACCCCACTGGCCATAAGACTGTTAAACACCGGAACTTTTGAAACAACATCCATAACATTCACCTGTTCGCAACTTGTTTTCTCCAGGTACAGGGATGGGGAGGGTGTTTGACTGTGTATCGATGTACAGTTGCAAGAAAAAGTATGTGAACCCTTTGGATTCTCCACACATAGCGTTGTGTGTTCCTTCCAAACAACTCAACTTTGGTTTCATCTGTCCACAGAATATGTTGCCAGTAGTGCTGTGGAACATCCAGGTGCTCTTTTGCAAACTTCAAACGTGCAGCAATGTTTTTTCTGGACAGCAGTGGCTTCCTCCGTGGTGTCCTCCCATGAACTCCATTCTTGTTCAGTGTTTTACGTATCGTAGATTCGTCAACAGAGATGTTAGCATGTGCCAGAGATTTCTTTAAGTCTCTAGCTCTCTAGGATGCTTCTTCACCTCATTGAGCATTCTGCGCTGTGCTCTTGCGTCATCTTTACAGGACGGCCACTCCTAGGGAGAGTAGCAACAGTGCTGAACTTTCTCCATGTATAGACAGTTTGTCTTGGACTGATGAACATCAAGGCTTTCAGAGATACTTTTGTAACCCTTTCCAGCTTTATGCAAGTCAACAATTCTTAATCGTAGGTCTTCTGAGAGCTCTTTGGTGCGAGGCATGGTTCACATCTGGAAATGCTTCTTAAGAATAGCAAATTCAAAACTGGTGTGTATTTTTTATAGGGCAGGGCAGCTTTAACCAACACCTCCAATCTCGTCTCATTGATTGGACTCCAGGTTGGCTGACTCCTGACTCCAATTAGCTCTTGAAGAAGTCTTTAGCCTCGGGGTTCACATACTTGTTCCACCCTGCACTGTGAATGTTTACATGGTGTGTTCAATAAAAACATATAATTGTTTGTGTGGTATTAGTTTAAGCAGACTGTGTTTGTCTATTGTTATGACTTAGATGAAGATCAGAACACATTTTATGACCAACTTATGCAGAAATCCAGGTCATTCCAAAGGGTTCACATACTTTTTCTTGCAACTGTATATGTGTGTGTGTATATGTGTAAATATATGTGTATATGTATATATGTCAATCAACAAGTAAAGCAGATTAATAATAATAATAACAATAATAATTAATAATAATAATATTGATAATTATTTATAGATTATAAATAAATAGTTTAGGGACAAGGGGGTGAGATTAAATAAGTTATACTTCTTCTCACTCCTTTTCGAACACTAGATGTGGCACTGTTTATGTTGCTAATGCTGTTGTTGTTGTTGTAAATGTCACTTTGTTTTGTTTTCTCTTACATGAATATGCACTGCAGCATTTTTTGTTTTTGTAATGATTTATTTTACTTGTTCGAAATAAAATGTATCAATCAATCAATATCAATATTCCAATTACTTGTAGATACACTATTCTGCACTATTTATATTATATTTGATTTACTTGCACTATTATCTGTGTTATTGTGTTGCTCTGTTGGAGGAGCCTGGGACCTAAGACTTGCACACATGACAATAAAAGCCTTGCATCTTGAAAACGTATGCATTCGTCCCACAGAGGGGACATTTACGTTACAGCAAAAGTGAAAGCCGTGAGACAAAAAATAAAACACTATTAGATGAAGGGCATGCATAATAATATGTAGTGTGGTAGAAGCTAAGGTAAAATGATGCATTACTTACAGATTCTTGTTACAGTAATAACATTGTATTATATTCTTAATTCATCTCCAAATACCCTGACATTTGTCGTGATCTTACCACTGTGCAGCCGTTGTACAGGTTGTGCTGGTCCTTGTGAGCGTGTGCACAGAAGTCCATGCACGCGGTGACTCCGGAGAACGGCCGGCCTTCCTTCAGTCCCAGCCGGCACTCTGGAGCCTTGGACTCTGTCAGGCACTGAGGGAGAGGACAGAGTTTACTACACATATCTGCAGACACCTTATGTCCTCTCTTTCACAGTTTAAGCTGCTCATGTCTCGCCCTGCTGATCAGGTTAAGCTTTCTATTTTATAATATGCGCCCTCTTTATACTTGTCTAATTTATTGCTGCTACATTCCCATTTGAACAATTGTTTATGTTTATTGCTATGTTCTAATGGTGAGTATTGTATGTACCGTTGCTGTCCTTAGAAAAGCCAAAGTAAATGTTTCCCCCGGGCGAACAATAAAGTCTATCTAATCTCATTTCCTCACATTCATTCAAGATAAACACACAAAGGAGCACTTCAGAGGTGTGACACATTGTAAAAGTAAATGTCTTAGACCCCATTTACACGGAAACGCATACGAAACGCAAACGAACCGGATACGATAACAAAAAAGTATTCCGTTCACACGAGACCGCTCGGGAGCGCTGGAGACGCTGTAGTACATATGCCGGGCCTGTAAGTGGCGCTGTACTTCCTCACGAGACCGCTCGAAAGCGCTGGAGAACAGCACATTAGTCTTTTTGCAAAGATGCAAGAAGTGTTATTACCAAACAATCATGTGAAAGTCTTGAGGATTCTACTCATTGTGTGTGAGGACGATTGTAAGTGTAGTTGTTTGCGGTAGACATGTGTTACTGTTTTAAAACTATGGTTGGTACTTGCTACGAATTGAACTGTTAATGTTGTTGCACCGAACTATCACTGAAACTTTTAGCAGTGAGTCGTTTTCTATCAATTATCTAATCCTCGTAGCTCTAATTATGACCTGTTGCTTTTTGGGAAACTGTGTGTTCAGCGTTCGCTGACTGTGTTAATACACAACGGTTTTTTTGTTTTAAATGAGAGTAGTTTACAGAAGCTACAAGAGGGCACATTGTTACCTCAGTCCCCTCCAGATCATTTGTTCTGCTTTAAAATAAATGGAAAGAAAGTATTCTTGCACTGAACCTTAACTTTTGAATACCGTGACCCCCCAGGTATTTGACTTTCCAACTCACCTGGTTGCTGTATGCCTGCGGAGCCAGCTGCTTGTACAGAGGAGCCAGTTCTGTCGCCAGGTGCTGCAGGTTAACCCCCAGTTTTTCCTCCTGAAGAGCACACACACAGATCAGAACTTTGTTTATTCCACACATGTACACTTTACAAAACATGTACACTTTGTTGTTGTTGTTGTTGTTGTTGTGTATAGCATATGGTGGAAAGGAGCAGGGAGAAGAACATCTTATTTTACCTTCCCCTTCCCCACAGTTGCTTACAAACACACTCAAAAGTCAACTTCAGGTCTTAGGGGTTCTCTGTTTCTGTCTTATCACGTCATTGTGTATTTTGGTTTATTTTTGTCATTGCTATTACTGTAATGGTCTTTTTATGATATTATCATTATTGTATTTCTTTTTTATATAGCACCTGCATTTGTACTCAGTATTTGCTCCTGTTATTGTGCTATGTGTGGGAAAAAACAATAATAAATAACTTCCTACTGTCTAATTACGCTTTCTTTATACATTTTCTTAAACATAGAAATGTTCTTACAGCCCTTTAAATAATTCGGCAAAGAATTCCACTTCTTTACGCCAACTACAGTAGTACGTGCAAACTGATGCTTGAAGTTAAAACAAACCACAAAGCCACATAAAGTTTACCCAAGACAACAAAAGTGACTAAAGTGTGAAATAAAACGAGTACCTGTTCAGGGCGCTCTCCTTGCAGCCTGAACTTGCGCGGGGTTTTGCTGCGGGCGTACTTGCAGCCGTTGAAGTACATACTCCAGGAGCACCCGAAGGAGAAGGAAGCGCCGCAGGTCTCCATGTCTTTACCCTGACACGCACAGGTCCGACTGCAGGGGGAGACAGGGAGCACGCTCTCAGGGTCAGGCAAGTTTATTTATACAGCACTTTTCAACACAAGGCAATTCAAAGTGCTTTAAAAAAATGAAAGACATGAAGGGCATTAAACACATTAGAAACATTAAAAAGCAAAGATAATAAAACATGAATAACAATACAGGTACATGAATACAAGTTACAGTGCAGTGTAAGATGTGAATAGTTCAATTAAAAGCAGCGGCAAAAAGAAAGTCTTCAGCCTGGATTTAAAAGTAGTCAGAGTTGCAGCGGACCTGCAGGTTTCTGGGAGTTTGTTCCAGATATTTGACAATACCCCGAACCGAATTCTCACATTCCTCTAACCCCTAGTCTTCCTGTGAACTTACAGTTCTTTTGACGGTTCGCTAACCTTTTTATATTCCTTTCATTATTCTCTTTCAATCTTTCAACACATTTCCCCCTATTTTACTGTTACCCGTACCCATCTGTGACCTTTAAATCACTTTTCTTTTAACCCATCCTAGTACCAGGAGCAGGGACGTGCACAGACATTTGGAGGGGCTATTGCTCTAACCTAGAAAAAGGGCCTCCCCCCCACCCCCCGAAAACTTAAGAACTTTTTTTATAAAAAAGAAAAATGAAAACCAGGGACATTTTTTGTTTTGCGGTCCATATCTCATTAACATATCGAATGTTAGTAACTATTAAAGACAAAATGTGGACAATTCTGTTTTAATGTAGTTTGACCATTGTAACTGCTGTGCCTTAAATAAACTCACTAATTGATTAAACCAGTTCAATTAAGCAATGTACTGGTGTACCAATAATGACGTTCAAGAACGGCCTCAAGTGTATGATTGCGATTCTATTACACAAACTATCATTGTAATCAACAATATCGTAAAAATAATTTCATAATGTGGTCTAATTTGCTCCCAAACCTACGCTTTCTGCTTGAGTTAATCTCCGTCAGAAAGTAGTTCCTAGAAAGTAGTTCCTATGGTAACGATAGCCGATCAAACACTCCTGCTACCCCGCTTACAGTTATTGATATAATATAATTATAGTAAATAATCTCGGTCCCCGAGATTTGGCTTCCAGTAGCTCTGGAGAGAGCTTTCGTACCTGTGGCCACTAACGGTCATAATTTCTCTGCTTTGTTTCAAGACCCGCATCAGAAAGCTTTTGAATGGTGGTACTTCTCCAGTTGGTCTACCTGCTCTTCACGTATCTCTGCATGTCGTCGTTTAGGTGCTTTTTTTCTGGAGATAGGCACTCCTCAATCCACTCCTCCATAGTAAGACCCCCCCGGAGGTCGAAGTTAATCTTAAATGTTTCCACCTTATGCTTTGTAAGTTTGTTTCGTAACGGAAGAAATTTAAATATATTTATAAAACTGACAAGTCAAATCAAGCAATCTGATTGGTCGATAGTGTTTTTACGGACCTCTTTGATTACAGATTTGAAAACAACGTTGCTTGCTTTAAAAGTAGCACAATTCATTATGTCAAACCTTGGAAAGTATCTAGATATCCCTGCCCTAATGCCAAAGGAACTGCACACTGAATATGTTTTGCCGTTTGATGTCTATGTCTGGACCGCTGTGTAAAAAGGAGGGTTTCTGCCCAGTTACTTCTTCGCTGCTTTCTTGTTCCAGTTTGAATTGCTTTTCGGCCCAACGGTATACTGTTTTTCTCAGACGCGGAGGGATACTGACTTGTTGTGAAAAGGCACGTTCTATTTGATCGTTGTTTGATCGTGGAATCAAACACGCCTATTGACCAATCAGAGAGCTTGCTCACACCTATGTGTTATAGAATACGCATTATTCTTATTCTTATCATTCTTTATGAGCACATGCCGGTAAGGTATCTAATTACTTATTTATTTAGTATTCCATAACTTAATAACAGAGATGTCTCAACTTAATAACTTAAGTTGAGACATGGCAGAAATCCTACAATGAAGCGGGACAGTGAAGAGTTCTCCCGTGAGAGTGCGATCAAGAAAAGAGAGCGAGCGGTGAGGGAGTTTACGGAGCAGATGAAAAGACACAGAAAGACAGAAACACAATAACAAGTATATTTAGGTGTTTTTTTTGTAAATAACCGACGGTGTCAAGAGGAAGTAAAGTCCCCTGGTTTGTCCCCTATACTCTAACTGCCATGAGAAAACTCAAAATCAATAAAAGTATATTTAAAAACGGGGACATTTCCGGGGACAGATTGACCCAAGGATTGGCCACCATACCATAGCCATATGAGGCCGGACTCGGAGGGCTTTGCTTTGCTTCCAGCTGTCAGATTGTAAACAAAGTCACGTGACTGGGGGCAGATGACAGCGCTGACAAGGTGTGTTTTATCGCAGCGAGACTCTACAATACTAATTGAGGGCTTATCATGTTTATTCGGCCACAACAGAAAGAAAAGACTTTCGCTCTCTCCAGAGGGGCAGGTCAGCCAAAAAGTTCAAAAGGGCCGTTGCCCAGGCAACATTAGCCCGTACCTGTGCACGTCCCTGACCAGGAGTCTAGTACCAGGAGCAGTGGGCAGTTATTGTACAGCGCCCGGGGAGCAATGGGAGTGAGGGGGGAAGGGGGGTGTCCGGTGCCTTGCTCAAGGGCACCACGGCAGGGCAGGAGGTGAACCTGTCTCTGCGGTCCTGCCTTGGGTCTCGTCATGCTGCTTCCCTGATGGCTTCCTCAGGATTGTAGCTGACATCCTCGTGGATTCATCTTCTTATTACAGACACATGCATTTCCTAACATTCGGTCTATATGCTGTAAAATGTATTATCTCTTCGATTTACACACGGCATCTATTGCACGTCTGTCCGTCCTGGGAGAGGGATCCCTCCTCTGTTGCTCTCCCTGAGGTTTCTCCCATGTTCCCTTTAAACTGTGGGTTTTCTCTGGAAGTGTTTCCTTGTACGATGTGAGGGTCTAAGGACAGAGGGTCTAAGGACAGAGGGTGTCGTTTTTCTCATACTGATATTCTGAACAATCTGTGCTGTTGTATTTGCTGTAAAGTGTCTCTACTGTAGGCTATTTTTTATTATATGTACAGCACTTTGGCTCGACCAAAAATCGTTTATAAATGTGCTATATAAATAAAACTTGATTTGATTTGATTTGAACTGGGACCTCTCCAAGTCTGCTTTTCTAATTCATTTTATTGCATTTTGTGTCTTTGTATCTGTTTATGTTTGTTTGTTTGTATGCTATAGTTTTTTGTAAATGGTACAGCGTGTTTGAGTATTTAGAAAAGCGCTAAATTCAATTGAATATGATTATATCAGGAGTGCAAATACAAGCTCTTATTCAACCGTATTAGACTGGTCACTGAATCTAAAGTGTAATTGTTTTTAAACTGATACGTCAATTATCTGGTGTATTTCTGGCAGTTACTTCTTAGAAGTGTCATAAAACACATATTTACTCTATCTTCTATGTATATATGTGTGTAAGACAAACAGATACAAGTTATATCAGTTTATACAGTTTGAAGTAGAGTAATAACAGAGTGTGGCAGAAGTTGGTGAAGGCTTGCTGTATCTGGAACAGGTTAAACAAGGGTGTGTTCAAAATGCATAGCTTTCTGAAAAACTGGTTCCCGTCAACGTTTCGTTTTGTGTATTCATACATCGTTTAAAAGGTCAAATGTGGCTTGTTTTGGAATGACTTTTCATTGTCACAGATCCTTATTAGGGAGCATTTGGACCCCCATCTCATAAGGTTTTATCCATGAAACTTACATATAAGTTGTATATTACAATATGTAAGTTAACTTTTTCGCAAGTTCTTGTTTTTGTAATCTTCCTAGGGTGTGGGTAGTAATTTAGCCTTTTTAAACTAGTTTTAACATCACATATTCTGTACAGAAGTTCATGAAGTTGCACTCGTCCACTCAAATACATAAGAAAATGTTTTCGCATACTTTCACTCTTGTCTTAGGTCCAAAAGGTTCTTATTAGGATGCCAAGAAAAACACTTAAAAAGCAGGTGCAGTTAAAACACAAAACGCTCTCTGCACATTCACACATGTATATTATAAACCAGGGGTGTCCAAAGTTTTTCACTGAGGGCCACATGCAGAAAGATATTCGAAGGGCTGGGCCACTCCCTAGAGGAGAGGTTTATGGCCTCACAAGTTCAGTTAGAAGTCAGCAAAATCAATCAAATGTAGGTAAATTATACTTGTTACTTGCATATGCTTTAAGAAAAATGAACAGCCTACATCACAGCTCTCCAGAGGGTTTCATGTATTTTGATGGCAGCTCATTCCTTAAAACAGACGCCTCAGATTGCTTATAAGTGGAAATATGAAGAGGTGTATTTCAAGGTTGTTATGTAAATAAGTCATTGGGCTTTTTATCAACTTGTTAGAACATATTTTTTACTTTAATTGACTTAATTTATTGGAAATTGGGCTTATTAACACATGAACACTACTGAGTAATATATGTTTACAGATGTATTTAAGAAGTACAATACAAGACAAGCTCAAGTTTAATTTGTGGGCCGTATAACATTATACTTTTTGAATTTGATGAGGGCCGATTCAAAATGGCTTGCGGGCCACATTTGGCCCCCGGGCCGTAGTTTAGACACCCCTGTTATAAACCCAAAGAGTGTCAGAGAGCACCGAGACGCTACTCACTCGTCGTTGAGGCCGCAGCGCCGGCTGGTGGCGTTTCCGTACTGAGTGAGGGTGTTGCTGAGCTCCTGGTACAGCTGGTCAGCGAGACCCCGCTGCACCCCCTCCCACGCCATGATGAGGATGATGATGTGGGCGTTCTCACAGTGGTGTCCGGCACGGTGACGCACCAAACACAGCAGCTTCTCCGTCTCACCGCTACGACGAATCACCTGACAGGAAGCAGAGGATTATAATGATTTTGCCTTAAAGGTCCTATTATACTGTTTTTCATCAATATATTACAGGTCTCAGATATCATTTTCAGACAGGTTTTTATAGAAATGGATCAGGACAAAAAGAGAGAGAATCTTTGTTCCTGAAACTTTCAGAGTCTCTTTCCACAGAGGGGACACATGTTGACGTAGAAGAGACATGAAGAAGAGGGGACACATGTTGATGTAGAAGAGACATGAAGAAGAGGGGACACATGTTGATGTAGAAGAGATATGAAGAAGAGGGGACACATGTTGATGTAGAAGAGACATGGAGAAGAGGGGACACATGTTGATGTAGAAGAGACATGAAGAAGAGGGGACACATGTTGATGTAGAAGAGACATGGAGAAGAGGGGACACATGTTGATGTAGAAGAGACATGAAGAAGAGGGGACACATGTTGATGTAGAAGAGACATGAAGAAGAGGGGACACATGTTGATGTAGAAGAGACATGGAGAAGAGGGGACACATGTTGATGTAGAAGAGACATGAAGAAGAGGGGACACATGTTGATGTAGAAGAGACATGAAGAAGAGGGGACACATGTTGATGTAGAAGAGACATGAAGAAGAGGGGACACATGTTGATGTAGAAGAGACATGAAGAAGAGGGGACACATGTTGATGTAGAAGAGACATGAAGAAGAGGGGACACATGTTGATGTGGAAGAGACATGAAGAAGAGGGGACACATGTTGATGTGGAAGAGACATGAAGAAGAGGGGACACATGTTGATGTAAAAGAGACATGGAGAAGAGGGGACACATGTTGATGTAGAAGAGACATGAAGAAGAGGGGACACATGTTGATGTAGAAGAGACATGAAGAAGAGGGGACACATGTTGATGTAGAAGAGACATGAAGAAGAGGGGACACATGTTGATGTAGAAGAGACATGAAGAAGAGGGAACACATGTTGATGTAGAAGAGACATGAAGAAGAGGGGACACATGTTGATGTAGAAGAGACATGAAGAAGAGGGGACACGTGTCGATGTAGAAGAGACATGAAGAAGAGGGGACTCATGTTGATGTAGAAGAGACATGAAGAAGAGGGGACACATGTTGATGTAGAAGAGACATGAAGAAGAGGGGACACGTGTCGATGTAGAAGAGACATGAAGAAGAGGGGACTCATGTTGATGTAGAAGAGACATGAAGAAGAGGGAACACATGTTGATGTAGAAGAGACATGAAGAAGAGGGGACACGTGTTGATGTAGAAGAGACATGAAGAAGAGGGAACACATGTTGATGTAGAAGAGACATGAAGAAGAGGGGACACATGTTGATGTAGAAGAGACATGAAGAAGAGGGGACACATGTTGATGTAGAAGAGACATGAAGAAGAGGGGACACATGTTGATGTAGAAGAGACATGAAGAAGAGGGGACACATGTTGATGTAGAAGAGACATGGAGAAGAGGGGACACATGGTGATGTAGAAGAGACATGAAGAAGAGGGGACACATGTTGATGTAGAAGAGACATGAAGAAGAGGGGACACATGTTGATGTAGAAGAGACATGGAGAAGAGGGGACACATGTTGATGTAGAAGAGACATGGAGAAGAGGGGACACATGTTGATGTAGAAGAGACATGGAGAAGAGGGGACACATGTTGATGTAGAAGAGACATGAAGAAGAGGGGACACATGTTGATGTAGAAGAGACATGAAGAAGAGGGGACACATGTTGATGTAGAAGAGACATGAAGAAGAGGGGACACATGTTGATGTAGAAGAGACATGAAGAAGAGGGGACACATGTTGATGTAGAAGAGACATGAAGAAGTGGATTTTGCATAATAGGTGACCTTTAAGTCATTCAGGAGAGGTTAGGTTTATGCTCAAAACATTAGCTTATTCTTAATTCGAATATAACATTTAAAACGTACAACTTGAATCAGACGTTGAAAAACCTTTATTAATGTCCTTGGGGAAATGATGGAAAAGCAGCAACAGCAGTTCACTCAAGGATAATAAGAATATAAATAAAGTAACATATAACTAACAAGAGGAGGAATAGGTAAAGTAGGGAGTAGTTCACATGATCATTTGGTTGTGATTATTATTACTCAATGTCCTATGCATTTGAAAGACACAATGACAAACAGGTGATGTTACACGGCTTTTTGAAAGGATATCTGACACCTCTACTGAAATCTGACCGGCTGTGGTCACCGGATCCCAGTCCCAAATGTGCTTCTGACGCTTTACGTTTAATAAATGAGGAAGCTGAACAATGTACGGATAACGTATTTAAGCCACCTAGAAAAAGACCCACGTAAAAGAACATCTAAATCAGCTTTCATGTACGCAAAAATGGAAATATTGTCACTGCTTTACCTTAAATACGGACAGTTATTAAGTCTATTCTTCTGACTCAAGCCGTGATCTATGCTCTCGCCAATAACACCACCACCAGACTCAATAAAATAAATAAGACTTGTATTCTGCAGAACATGGGAGTTGCTTGTCTTGTTAGTTTGTGTAATTGTGTGCATTTGTTGTTTTAAACGGTTGGTTCAGATCCATCAAAGTGATTAAATAACACAAACTAACTCAAATATGGAGGCAGCGGTAGAACAGCAACTCCTATGGTTTGTGTTTGAATCTGGTAGCGTTCAAAAGCGCTTCAATAATGGCTTCAGTTGCTCTTTGGCAGCAAGGTTAAGCTGTGAAAGTATTCTATATATAACATACTCTTCAACTGATATGGATTTCTGTAGGTGGGCCTTTAAATTAGGTGGTTCAAATACTTTTTTTCCATGTCCACGCCAGTAAATACCTCTGCTAGTACTTGACTGCTTCTCAAACAACCAAAATCAAAAAACCACGCCTTTAATATATTAATAAAATTTTTGCTTATACAAAGAAAGAGAAATGACTGTTAATAAGTGTAAAGAGGGGGGGTGTATTATCCCCACACCACCCCTCTTTATGTCTCCAACACCAATTGAATCCATAAAGCCATTAGCAGGATGTGTCAGGGGTGACACCTGAGGGGGAGGCCTCCTGATTCTCTACTCACTGTGGGTGACAAACCTGTCTAGGTGTCTCATTATACCCTCTCATACCCTCATTACACACACACACACACACACACACACACACACACACACACACACACACACACACACACACACACACACACACCACACACACACACACATACACACACACACACACACACACACACACACACACACTTGCTGCATACATCTGTTGTTGATTGGCTGCCATTGTTGTCAGGTGGGACAAAGTGTTCTCTCACTTGAAAACAATCAGGATTTGGCTGAGTTTTTGACAGACTGTCACAAATGTGTTTTTGAGAGTTAAAAGGCCAGTATTTTAAAATGGAAATGTAATAAAAGGAATAAGAAGAGACAATACTATAGCTCCCAAAACTGACGCTTCATATCTCAACGTCCCAGAAACCTCATCATCTCTTTCAAAACCTCAAACCCATGTTAGATGTGATGCTGCTTACCCATTTAGCAATAGGACATCCATGTGAGCTCTTCCCCTCTCGGCCTGTGTAAACCACCTTCTCGACCCGGACGGCATCTCCTTTCTCTCCGTACCTGCACAAGAGCAACAATACAATTCAGTGTTATTAAAGTTCATTCACAGCTGCAACTATTTTTATAATCTGTTAAAGAAATGTTTCATAACATTTTAATTTCAAATACATGAAGATGTGCTGTTTCTCTGTGTGTATTATCATATAAATGTAATATCTTTTGACATTAAAAGACATAACTTTGGACTTAAACTGGAATAGACGTTGCTCACTATAAGTGTCAGTTTAAAGATGAGGAAAATAATACCTCATCAAATCCAATTTGCACTCAAACACAAGAAAAATACTGAAAAACAAGTAACCAGCAATATGGATCTGTGCTCCATGAATGTACTTACAACCAAATACAACTTTTAAAAAATGTCATGCTGCATATCAGTTTTAACAGTTTTGTGCTCCACATTGAACACAACAACTTGACAGCTCAGATTAAAGAGGTAAAATATTGGCACTCAATAACAGGAACAGCTACAGACGAGACTGACTGTGTCAAACTGTATATGTTTCCTTTTAGGAAGGTTATATTTAAACGCATACTTGTTTTACATTGTGGACGCAGTGGCACATGACAGCCAACCCCAGAAAAAATGGGTGCGAAAAATGCAATTTGTAACACCTGCAAGTCCACATTTCAGGGTGAAGCAGCAACCTTAGAGTAAGGTTTTGACAACAAACTAAAACCTTCCGTGTTTTGGGATTGTGAATGCTTCATTATGACCCAACATTTGAAGTAAAGTCATGACAAAATATTGTGTATGCTGTCAATTATTGTCAAGTCAAACTCTTAAAAAATCAGACAAGAAAAGTAAATCAGTGCATCTCAGCTGCAATGTGAGACATAATCACATTTTGAAAGGATATGAATGATTCCTATTGGTCACCACCAACCTCCTCACAAGTGTTTGTTATGTGTTAAGCGAGGTGGTCTAAGTCTGTGTTGTTATTTCAGTGTGTGGAAGTAGGCCTGTATGCCAGCCCTGACAGAGACAGGTGTGTTCACGAGGCTCTGCTGAGATTCACACTAACACGGCACAGAGAACCAGAACCCACGAGACTCGAAGCGACGCCAAGAGGAACATTTCTCTCCTGGTGTTTGTGTCCACGTGTGCATGCATGAGCTTTTTAGTGCACACATAACATCTATTTACATGTCTTTTGTTTGTCTGGGTCTGTGAACACCTGCTTGAGCTAATAATTGATTGGGGAGAGAATATCTAAAGGGGCAGTTCACCCAAAAAAAACATATTTTCCCTCCTTCCCCTTAGTGCTTTTATCAATCTAGATTGTTTTGGGGTGAGTTCGGCTGTAGAGATGTCTGCCTTGCCTCCAATATATTGTAACTAGAGGGCACTGTGGTTCTCAAACTGCCAAAGTAAATACATTTAAATCTCAAAAGCTATTTCTCTTTCTGTTAAACCTGATCAAGATAATCCACAGATGTTGTTGTGAGAATTTGAATGTAGAAAAAAACGATTTCTAGACTGTTGAAAAGCAACCCCTTCTTTACTCTTAAGCCCCACGGACCCGGTTCCGGGTCCAAAATCACGTCATTTGCAGGTAACAACGTCTAAGGAACCTTAATATTTAATAAACTATGATTATTTTATATCCATATAACGGGAAAAAACTCATTTAACTGATCTTTTACATTATTGGATTACTAAAGTTTTTAGTCTACTAACCCATCATCCAAGGTTAGTTTTCACTACAAGTACAAAATATATTTTGGACGGACACTATAATTTACAGTTTTTTTACCATGTTCAATCTGAATTTTCTGTTAAGCCCTGAGCCTGTTTTTCAGGTCTCAGGCTCGAAAATGACATTCCCAGAACAAATGACCATATCTTCCCTTCTAAAAGGGTTAAATTAATAATCTTTTTTCTCAAAGTAATGATAAACCTGTGAGTTGGATGTTGAAAAGTCAGAATCAATATAGATGTTTTATATTTTAAAGAAAATTCAGATTGAACATGGTAAAAAACTGTAAATTATAGTGTCCGTCCAAAAAATATTTTGTACTTATAGTGAAAACTAACCTTGGATGATGGGTTAGTAGACTAAAAGCTTTAGGAATCCAAAGTACAACATATAATAAGTACCCTGTATTAGGATTGATGCAAAACAAGTGATATTTGACCTTTTTAGACAGATTTAGCAAAAAAAACCTCTTCTGGGGCCATTTGGGTGGATTTTCCTTATCTCTGGCCCCCCTTGTTCGATTTTGACATGTGACATCTCTTTCTGACCGTTAGAGCCAATAGAATCGAAGGGGAGTCTCCCCACACACACACACATGGCAAAACGAAAAGGTGGGGGCTTCGTAAACACGTTTTGCTCTAGAGTGAAGCTGTCTCTAGGTCTGACATCTCAAAACCGAAAAGCAGATTTATTGCTCATGGATTATCAGAAATCATTCAAAGTGACACAGACACATTGGATTAACCTATGGATTACCTATGTCACTTTCGAGCCTGAAACCTGAAAAACAGGCTTGGGGCTTAACAGGCTAAGGACTATTTTAAGTTGGGTGTCAAAACATACTTTTCATTCTTAGCATTTGAAGGCTGATGTGGCCGATGAGTTGTTTATTTGAGTGATTGAGCTATTGCGTTAATGTTTATATGTGTTTTTTATTTGTGACTTTGGCTACTTGCTCCTGTCTGTACAGCAAGTTGCCTCGTAAATAAATGTGACTTGACTTCTTTCTCAACTCTGTGCAGATTCTGCAGAAGGAGCATGCAGCTTCTCGTGGATGAGAGGCTTGTCCCAGCGCAAGATGAGACAGCTGTAACGTGAGATATCTCAGGTTAGCTTCTTGTCTATGAGTAGATGCACAAGAACACAACAAGAACAAGTTCCAACATGAAACTGATCACAACAAGCTCTGTGGATAATCTTGTGTAACACGTCATGATTTCTGGAAAGATACATTGCTTTTGAGTTTGTAAAATGTATGTTTTTGGTGTTTTGAACAACACAAGCTGAGTGCATTTGAGAGGCAGTAGATATCTCTAAAGCTTGGCAACACACAACAAAACAATCTACATCGATAGAAAACACTACAGTTAACAGGAAGACCTTTTGAAAGCATAATGTTCTGGAGAAAAGACAAATGTACAACATAAATAATCTTGCATTATTGTCCGCGAGTGGGGATTTGATTGCGTGAGTGTAGTTCGGTACAAAGAAAATAGTTCCTATATGAAACCTCTCAAAACAAGTCCAAGAACTCACTACAAAACAATCCAGAGTCATTAATAGCAATATGAGGCTGAAGAGCTTGCCGCTGCTTTAAATTGAACTATTCATATCTTCCACTGCACTGTGTAATTTGATATTAGCTTGTTTGTTGTGTATTTTATTGTCTGCTTCAGTCACTGTTTTGAAATGACATTTGATCATGTGTTTCTGCTTCACTATTTCTTAATGTTTTTCATTTTTGTAAATCTCTTTGTGCCTTGTGTTAAAAGTTGCTAAATAAATAAACTTGCCTTGCCTTCCAAGTGAGAGGGAAAACATTTTTTTCTTGATTTTCTTGATTTTAAAGCTACTTTACTATTATTCCCGATGGTGCATGTGTGTATTTCTCGCGGTCTGCTGTTAGAGTGTGGGGGTGTTGAGGTCAGAGGTTACATTGGGTTTGGGGGGGGGGGGGGTCAGAAGTAGTCAGAGTTTTGCACACGGCTCAGATCGAGTCTCCTGCCTGCTTGATACCTGCCATTGTGAAACCCTGATCTGATGTGACAGTGAGCACCAGGGGCTGCAGCTGAATGGGATGCACCCCGAGGTGGCTCAGAGAGGGGGCTGCTGGGGGGGTCAAAGGTCAGCTGGGGACATTGTGGCCTGAACGTCTTATGTCATCTCTCAAACAACTGAGAGTGCGGTTTCTCCCCCCCTCTCACTCTCTATAATGACTCAGTGGTCCTCTCAGTGAATAGCAGCCAAATGTGGATTCAGTTCAACGATCACTCCTGTTGACATGAAGCTTAACACAATGTGGCATCCTTTAGTTAAATAAAGTTACTTTTAGAACAAGCTGTTTCTGTATTTTAGGGTTTCAAATAAAAGACACCATGAGGTATATTCATAAAGTTAAGGGAAGACTTTTTATTTATTGCATGCTTTCATGGTAAGATAAAGTTAGGTTACAAGGATTCTCAATTTGAAACACCCACTTCATTAAAGTCTAAAAGGTTACGTCTATTGTATTTAAAAGCACTAAGCCTGCCTGTTCATTAAGTGTGGTATCAATGAATGAATAAACCAGAGTATTACTTCTGTAAGTTAATTTTCGTGGTGAGATCACTATATTTGGTTGTCAAAATAAATAACAACTATTCTTTTGAGGCACTATATGTTCACTGTAGGGCTATGAAGGGTTAATGGAGTATTTCACCCACAAAATAATCATTATATATACATGTTTCACCCTGTGTTCATGAAGACAATGAAGAATCAAAAACTGAAAAATAAGTAACTTGAAGTAATTGTCATTTCAAAACTCTCAGAAAAAAAACATTACTTTTTCACAAACACTTGATAGTTTAATGTTTAAAACACTTTGGACGTGTAGATGGCTGCCTGTGTTAAGACTGCTTAAACTGAAGTGTTTGGAAAAGTCATTTGTTTGCGAAGTAGTGAGCGGATGAATGAGATTATGCTGCACGAGTTGTGGGGGAGTTTCTAAAAGGATGTTTTGATACAATTTGCAATTATTCATTTCGACTTGTTCTCCTTTGTTTGGTGAATAATAATGACCGCAGAGCCATGAGATAAAAAGCAAAACAGGGTGAGTAATGATGAACAAATGGACGTGAAATATGACTTAAACCAAGTTATGAAATATAAAACAACCCTTCATTCATTCAGTAAAATCAAGCACTGATGCTGTGATTAATCCAGTGATTAATCCAGAATGCACTCTGGTTATTAAAATGACCAGCTGGGAGCTCTCTGGTTTCTCCCCCTAAATTAAATAAATACTAATCCTACTGGATGAAGATCAAGCCGCTAATCTCAATCTGTCTTTCTGCCACCAAGTCTGCAGATGCTCAGAGTATAAAGTGACAACAGCTCATTGGATGTATTGGTTTGGAGAGCTGTGCAGATCGTGTTGCGTATGTGACATCGATTCAATTAGAGTCCTGACCAGAGGTTGCGCAACACAGGATCGTAAAATTTCAGGATCGTTAAAATTCCAGTATTACCCGGCGTCGGCCTTTACGCAACTCTGAAGCGCTCGTGAACTGTCAACCCGGGGGGTGGGCGCACACTCGTGAACTGTTAGCGCCGTGTTATGCATGCCCATTGCACCTCGCGGGAGCGCGCACAGCGTAAAGCAAATACTCGCTAACATTTCAATGATTTGTTCGGTTTGGAAACGGTATCATTTCCTTTTTGGCGGGCATGCATAACACGGCATAACACCGGAGCCTCGCTGCGGGGAAGCTTTGGCGCTGTTCCGATTTTGTTCTAATCTGTCAAAATGACGGACTGCTTTCAGGTTTTTCCGTCATTGTTATAAAAAAAATATTCGGTTAACGCGGCCTCTCGTCCTGACGATCTATGCCAGGGGTGCCCAACCAGTCGATCGCGAGGAGACTCCCAGTCGATCGCGAGATGTGTCTAAAAATAGAACAACAACATTCTGTTTTATCGTTAATGTCCTATAAAATAATCTTCCTGTGCCAGAATAATGCACTTGAACGCATCAAAGCTTTGTGATTGGCCGGCGTGACCCCATGTGTCGGGGCGTGGCTGGTGGGCAGTGGGCACTATTTCCCTGACGTTGTTGTCCGACCGTGTCAACAGGAGTGAGAGTCCGCACACACACAAGACCGCAATTATGGCAGAAGCAAAAAAGCCCAAAATATATAATTTTCACTCCGAGTGGGAGGATGATTATTTTTGTATCTATTCCAATTCAAAGTCCATCTGTCTCATCTGCAATGCGAGCGTGGCTTTATCGAAGAAGGGTAATTTAGGAGCGGCATTTCAAAACAGTGCACAAACGCTACGAGACGGAATTCCCTCCTAATTCTGCCCTACGCTCCAAAAGGGGAGGGGCCTGAAAGGACAGCTAAATGCACAGCAGTCCATTTTCACCAGGTCAACAACAAGAGCAAGGCTGCTACCAGAGCATCTTATCGGGTCAGTCACGTTCTTGAGAAACACATGAAGTCTTTCAAAGACGGCGAAGTTGTGAAAGAAGCATTCCTGGAGGCTGCCGACGCGCTTTTTGGGGACAGGTTTTTGATATAATAAAAACTCAAGTTAGATACCGTTATTAATCAGCTGTAAGTTTTAGTTTGTTTGAACTTATTCATTATAATTATTGTACAAAATGGTATAAGAATGCAAACTTAAATTGATTATAGTCTATTATCAATTCAGGTTAAGAAGCTAGTGTTGCTTGCATCCTATTTTAAAGGCATTTATTTTTATACTCTATTAAAATGCAACAAAAAAGGGTTTGATTCTATTAATTTAGTCTTTTTTTATTGCACTTTGGCAGCAGATTCCTGTGTAGCTTCAGATCTGAGTTGTCTTATTAGTAAGCCTCATTTATACTTTTGTAGCAACACTATTTTTATATCATGGCAAAGAAAGGGTTCAGAGTCTTTTCTTTTTTTCCTGTGTCATATGTGGCAGCACTGTTCAATGTTTCTTAAACATTACCCACTGTAGTGACGTGTGCATAAACTCCAACTCTGTATCAACAACACTGTTGTGTAGCTTCAGTTAAATACTTGTATGTGTGTAGATTAGAAATAGGTAAGATAAAGGATCTGCAGTATTTTATGAAGTATTAATCGTACAAAGGTCAGTTCTATAAAAGTAGACGTGTGTATTCACCTGGTAGTAGGCTGTCAGTAATGGCTACGCCTCTCTATTTGGACTGGTAGATCTCGGCAGACTGGCAACTTTAAAAGTAGCTCTCGGTTCAAAAAAGGTTGGGCACCCCTGGTCTATGCTGAACATAGATTTTTACCTTCAACTGGACTATTGGATTAATCTGCTTTGAATGTACATTCTTTGCATCAAAAACAACAAATGTCAGTCTTAATTTATATTACAGACTGAACAAAACTCTAAATAGGAAATGCACCATTTCTATCACAAATGTTTGTATTTATTTTTTGGGATAATTTTATTTTGAATGACTGAGTCAGGGTTTGAATACTCTACCTTTAAAATGTCAATATGTTACAAAGTTGTATTTCTTATAAAACTGGAACAATTTAAAAAATAAATAATATTATAACACATTAATAATAATAAATACACACAAAAATAAAAACACATACATTAAATGAAGGATGTATGTTATAATATAAGTATAAATATAAATGACAAATATATATATATAAAACAGCTTACAAACTATGAGCAGTATGAAATTAGAGTGTAGTAGAAATGTAATATACTATAGAGCTGGTATAAATAAAGACAGTAGAATATAAACACTACAGACGTCTTCTTTCTCTGTGATTGGATTCCTCCCTCATTCCTCTCATTGTCATCTGCTGCTTTCCTTGCTTGTGATATTTGTGATGATGCCGATGTTTCCTGTTTCTCCTGCTGGATTCTGGGTCACGGATCCCCTAAGGACAAAATGTGAGGAGGAGGGAGAGCATGTGGGAGGAAGATAAAAAGAGGAGAGGCAAAGACTCACCTTCTCTCCATCAGATCTCGTATTGAAGCGACAGTAGGTCCAGATCCCAGGTGATTGTAGTACGGCCCTTCATCTTTCTCGAGGACTTGTTCTAGAAACAGGGACAGTAAAGGGTGAGAAAACTGCAGACATTTGGACCGAAAACACACATAAATCAACACAATAATTCACTATATTCGACAGATCGCAATAATATACGCCTCAAATCTGTATTTACTAGTGCCTGGATAGAGTTAATATGTATCGGTAAAAGTACGTTGACTTTAATCAAGAATATAGTGTGTCTGTATATAAGAAAATGTCAGTTGGTGTAAAAAACAAAAATTCAAAGGCTTTTGCGATTTATTTTTAGACATCCTCTTTGTAGCTGAAGATACATCGTCTTTGAGAAGCGTGAGAACGTGCAACTGATTGCAACATCCAGTTCACACACATACACACATGAACACACAGACTGCAGGGTGTGGTGTGTGTGTGTGTGTGTGTGTGTGTGTGTGTCTGTGTGTGTGTGTGTGTGTGTGTGTGTGTGTGTGTGTGTGTAGACACTTTGTAAAGCAGAAGCCTTTTGAGGTAGTGAGGAATGAGACAGTTTATGCGAGTGTTGTTGTGAGGGAGTGAGGGTGTGTCTGTGAGCGCTGTCTACATCTGTGTTTATATCGTGTAGTATGTGTGTGTGTGTGTGTGTGTGTGTGTGTGTGTGTGTGTGTGTGTGTGTGTGTGTGTGTGTGTGTGTGTGTGTGTGTGACTGCTTTAGACCGTTGTCCTACATGCCTCTGTGGTTGTAGACCACGTCCTCTTTGTATGTGGTACCACGCAGCTGAATGTTTACTACATTTAGGCCAGCAACTAACTAATAGTTTATTTGGTTGATGAATTGATCCTCAACATTTAGAAAATGTGTTTTCCAAAGCCTGAGATGACATCCTAAAATGTCTCTGGATTGTTCACAACTAAAGACATTCAGTATACTGTCATACATAAAGAAATCAGAACATATTGACATTTAATAAGCTAGAATCAAGGAATGTTTACAGTTTTTACCTAAAAAATGTCTATAAGGAAATTTATTTGCAACAGTTTGTGGTTAATAAATTCACAGCTGATTCATCTTCACAGAACTACCTACATTACATTCCTAATGGATTTTAAATGTCCCATCTTTGCAAGTCAACTAAAGCGGTGTTGCTCTGGCTCCTGTGCACGGCACTTCTTTATCATACACTCTCTGGATAACAGCATTAGCTAATGCTCTAGATGTAAATGCTCTTTACTATCAGCTGATTGTCTGGAGAGTGTGTGTGTGTGTGTGTGTGTGTGTGTGTGTGTGTGTGTGTGTGTGTGTGTGTGGTGTGTGTGTGTGTGGGTGTGTGTGTGGTGTGTGTGTGTGTGTGTGTGTGTGTGTGTGTGTGTGTGTGTGTGTGTGTGTGTGTGTCTGTGGCTCAGAAGCAATATGAGGTCACATTCCCCTGTTGGTGCAGGAGGCAGCAGGGTGTGGCTCAGGGCAGGAAGTGGAGGAGTCACTAAATCCTAGCCTGGAAATCTGAGTGTGTATGTGTGTGTGTGTGGTGTGTGTGTGTGTGTGTGTGTGGTGTGTGTGTGTGTGTGTGTTGTTGTGTGTGTGTGCACATCATGGCTGCTTCCTGTATCTGTGTGTTGGAGGCAGTCTCATTACAGCATTGAGTTATGCTGTAGGGAGTTGACAGGGGTGTGTGACCAAGCTTTACTATGAAGACTTGTTTTCTGCTCTAAGGAACACCACACAGCTGCTCTCCTCCTGCTGTGCACCCTCTTCAAAGTTAAAGGTCTATTTAACAGACATTAAGAAATACTTTATACCCAAAATAATCATTTGTATATTAACTACCCTGTGTTACCAAGAACTCTTTAAGAAAATGTTGTATTCTCACATGCCTTCAGTTCACATGCATCAAATAATTGAAATGTATACAAAGTCTTGGCGAACTGAAGTACATACGGCCAGTGTTTTATCAAAACTATATTGAAATGTTGAATACAAAGTCCCACACAGCTCGTTCTGTATAATCTATGTGTCATTCATCCAGCTGTGTGCCCACTGCTCTACAAACACAGAAACCCTTAGTATTCAAACCCAAATCAGTGCCTGTACAGATGAGTGGTGAGGGACTGTTTAGTAGTAAAGGTTTAGTAAAAGTCATGTGTTTGTGAAGTAGTGAGCCCAGCTGGATGGATGAGACTTGGATTATACAGCGGGAGTCGTGTGAGAGTTTGTTAACGGATGTTTTGATGGTTCATTCATCAAGACTTTTCTGTGTCTTCATTCACCCTGGAGGGCATCTTAAATATGTGAAGGTTACATGAGGTACGTAATTCATATTCGAGGCGACTTACGTACACTAACATCCCATAGAAATGCCCATAGAAGCAATTTGGGGTTGAGGACTGAGTTAAATAACATATCATGTAATAACATCTAATAAAATAATATATATGAAGTATATCATGAATCTTTTGAAGGCCTAAAGCTCTACAGCAAGGTCGCATTCACACCAGCTTTGTATAGTCCGGTTGAATCGAACCCTGGTGCGTTTACCCGCTTGGTGCGTTAGTTTGGGTCGGTGTGAACACAGTCCAGACCTCTTAAGTGAACTAAACAACCGGACTCTGGTCCGCCTAAAAGAGGTGATCTCGGACCGCTTGCAATAACTACCTTCTTATATCTGCTCTGATCTCTCGACGAATTGAAAGTACGTATTGCCTGAGATCTCATGATGTTGTTTTATTAAATGTGCCAAGTGCTAGGACTGTCTTAGAGAAGAAAGCTTTTAGTTGTGCAGCTCCACTAACTTGGAACAGTCTGCAAACATGTTTAAAACTGAGCACTTTGGTTCCCATCATCATTTTAAAACTCGGCTGGCTGACATGCTGTTTGATACTCATGGTACTGTCACTGTGAATAGAGTTTGTAAACTGTACCCTGTACATTATGTTGTATGTCGTCCTTATTGTTGTTCTGTTGTTTTTATGTTACATGTGTAACCAATGTGCTGCAGGTCACCCTTGAAAGGAGATCTTTTGACCTCAAGGGGCTTCACCTGGTTAAATAAAGGCTACAAACAAACTCTGGAGCGGTTCATCGCTGGTGTGAACGCAGTCCGCACCAAAACATACGAAGCGTAGTATTTACGAGTCACAAGAACGCGGATGTCTTCCAAATCTTTAGCGATAGAGTCTTTCAAGACATCCGCGGTTGTTTAGTTAAAGAGTGAAGCAGAATGAAGTGTTGAACAGTGTAAAGTAAAAGCGCTCCGTCAGCTACATAAAAGTAAGAACACCTGTCGTCGGTGAAACGCCCTCCTTACTGCAGAACGTCTCTCATTATATGTGTTATAATGTTTTTAACGGACGTTGTCTGATTATATAATTGCAACAAATTAATGGGTGCTAACCACAGTCAATTCAGGTGATATACTGGTTTAGTTATTCACTCATTAATGACAAGACTCAGCCTTTTACACTATAATGATGTGGGTGTATTGAAGCCTCATTCTGTCTAAAACACCTTTATCTTACTGTTATCCTATTCTAAATATGGAATCTATGACATGATCTATACGTGTTTCATAGCTTTCTACTGTAGGACCACCTACTCTGTTAACCTGAGCAGGGTACGACCCAAACTGAAGCCTTTCTGTCTAACAAAGGCTCTGTTCTGCTTGCCTGCCAGACCCAAACCCACACAAAAGGCTCCTTCTGCCACCACTGCTATTGTTCCCACCCACTGCCTTTAGTGCCTCACACAGTCGCAGTCTCTATGGTCACAGTCACACCCCCCGGCAACACACACATTCTCAGAAACACTCAACAAGCATCCACACAGAGAGGGACTGTAATAATTGACCTAGTAGTGACAGGTGCATTAATGTTAAGCTGCAAGATATCCAGATTTAGATTCCCAAGAGTCCTCCCTGCAGAATATGCATGCCCAGTTGATACTAAACACACTGGTCAGATTTACTGTTCCAACAGACATCAACTTATCTCCACTTAGATATGAATTGAAGCGTTTGGAATGGTGTGATAAGATTGATACTATATTTATTTATCCTAAAAGGGCTCTCAACACACTGACTTACCGACACATGTGCAGACAGGGAACTCTGCCTGTAGATCCTTGGAAGGAGTATCCAGCAAGGTCTTGGTTGGGGTGTCCAGGTACCGCAGAGGAGACTCTAGGAATCCTCTGAGAGACGGAGAGGAGGGCAGTCCGTCCTTAGTTGGCGTGTTCTCCTCAGAGTAGCATGTGGTGGAAAGTACTGTTATATCCCCAGAGGATTCGATCTTCATACGCTTGGGCAGCGAAGAACACGGCATGCTGAACATATCCTCAAGTCTCCTGGCCTCCTGGTGCTGATTGTTATCCACCATAGGGCTTTCTGTAGGTGTCTTATTCATGGTTGCTTCACTTTGGGTCCCTGACTTGTTGACGTCCATCTCCCGATCGTCTGGATGAGGTGTGGAGCTGGTTTGAGAGGTGTGAATTAAGGGAGTCGATGATGTGGGACTGAGGTCCTGAGAACTTGTCTGGGACCGGTTCAGCGGCTGAGGGTCTGTAGACATCTCCATGGACTGAGTGGCAGGTGCGTCTGAGGCCGAGTCCCCAAATTCAGCCTCAAACTGCCGGATCAGTTCTTCATACTTGGGGTCTATGTTCATGACACTCGGTAATTGTGAAGTGCTGGATGGAGATGTGGAGGTCACAGGTGTGGTGGTGCTGGTGTTACTGGAGGCCAAGATGCCCACTCCATCTGATTTAGGAAACAGGGCCACAGATGGGAGAATGTGGCCCATGAGGACCGGAGTGTTTTCAGACAAAGAAGAAACAGTGGAAGAGGGAGTCATTGAGGAGCTGGAAATGGATACCTGAGATTGGGCTGGGGCAGGGAGGCCTGCAGCAGCAGCCTGAGTGGAGTTACTGTGGATGGGTAGAGAGGGTAGCAGGCCGGCCAGGGCTGCGGCTCTGTCCATCGCGAGGACTGATGGTTTTTGTACGGTGATCTGATTCTGAGGCAGGAAGGTTGGCAGGGAGGCTTTCTGCTTGGTCTTCTTGATGATTATCGGCTTGGGTTTGGGCAGAGGAGGGACTGCAAGCATCCCGCTCGAAGCTTTAACAACAGGAGAACCTTGGCTGCTTTTTCTCCTCTTGGGTTCCTTGGGTTCCTGTTTGATGGGCAGATGTGGCAACCCTTCTGCCTCAATCTGTGGCCACCATTTTTTCAAGTTTTGACAAGCCATAGGTGCACGAGGGCCTGGTGCTCCAAAGACAGGGGAGTGGTTAGAGAAGAGGTTCCTCTTGTAGTGAAGGTGTTGTTGCAGAGCTGCCTGAGTGGAGTGGCGGATGGCTGCCTGGCCAGGAGATAGAGGACCGCCAGGGTAGTGCTGACCCAGCTGCTGACCATTAGCCATGCCGTAATGCCCCATGGAGGCAGTGTGATGGTAGTGCTCACCAGAGTCCGGTTCTTGCTTTATCCTGGCCAATGCTGGGTTGTCCTGGACCTGGACACCTCCATTCTGATTCAGCTGCTGTGGGACTGGAAGCTTGAAATTGCTAAACTTGCTGCTGGTGTCACCAAGCAGCTGTTTGAGCTCTGACATGGGGTCTGAGCTGCTGTGAGGTGCGGCAGCGTAGTGAGACTGGGGCTCAGATTTAACACACATCCACGGGTTCCTCTGTTCAGAGCCTCTACCTGCACCCTGCTGCCACTGCTGGGGATTAGGGCTGAAGCCTGGATGTTTTCCCTGGCCTGGGAAAGGAGAGGTAGAGGAGGGGAGAGGGGAAGCATCGGGTGGCTGGCCCTGGGAATGGGGTCTGTGGTGCTCGCAGGACCCTGGGGCCTGCTGGATGTTGTGTAGTCCTGGAGGGACGGATTGAGAGCGTGAGGAGGATGATTGGGGGCCGGGAGAGGACGGGATCACGCTAGTGCCATTGGGGGGTTGAGATTGGAGGTTGTGGGTATGTTGGTGGTGATGGAGGTTACTGTTGTAGGGAGAGCCGGCAGCTTGTGGACCAGTACCAGATAACTGCGTCAGAGCTTCTATTGCGATGGCTGTCTGAAGACTGACGTTCTTTTCCTTGGCTATGGAGAGCACCTGGGGAGAGCAGGGAATTGGGGGTTTGGGGCAGGGCATATGGACTGAGTGAGGGCCTTGAGATCCCTGCTGCTGGGGATAGGGAGAAGACAGACGGTGGCCACCATTCATCTCGGGGTAGGGCTGAGGGTGATGCTGCAAATGAGGGTGTACGTGTGGGGGAGCATCCGCCGTCTTGCAGCCACCTTGATCCCCACTATTGGCCAACTTAATCTTCTTCTCCAGCCACTCAAGGTAGTCTGGACAGTCAGGCCCATCACAGTTGCAGTTGAGGGGCTTGTGTCCATGCTTAGCTTGGCTCAGTGCTGACTGGAGAGTGTTCAAGTCTTCTGGAGTTTGGCAGCTTCCCTCAGGTTTGGCCTGAACTCCATCAGCACCCACCTCTTTGGTGAACTTCTCATAGAGCTGGCCTGTGTTAGGCTGCACGGGGCAGGAGGAGGAGGAAGAAGGAGGCAGGGAGCCGGCTATAGCAGAGAAAGCCACCAGGTTGTGGGCGTCCTCCATGTTTGCGTGGTGAACAGGTTCACCAGGGGTGGGACCGCTGCTGCCGTTCCAACATTGTTGTTGGGTGTCACTGACCTTTCCATGTCCTGACACCCAGCACTGCCTAGGAGGCACACTCCCTGCCCTCTGCTGATCTGTTTCCATAGATGAGGCTTCATCATTGGGGAAGCGATTCACCCCATTGGCCAGTTCCAGGCTCAGCGCGCCTTCCTGGAGGCGGTCATGTGACCCAATTTCCATCTGGCCTCCACTTCTGGGGCCATCCACTGAAGTGACTTTGCGAACAGTCTGCAATACAAACAAGGACTGAGGTTAGTGAGATCATAACAATCCAATGAATCCAGGAACACTTGTAAAACAGTACACATTGTACACTAGGCATGATTTAGGAAAATCACCAGATGAATTTGTATTTTTAATAACAGACTCCATTCCCTTTTCCTCTTTCAGCTCTCATCCAGGGTTTCCCTCCTACTTCATACAGAACATACGGCGCTGCAGGGTCATGTCAGGAAAGGAAAGCTCCATTAACTATTGCTCCAGTGGACTGTTTTCATAACAGGCAAGTGTTTTGTCGAGCAAGTCACTGGTCATGAGGCATAGTTTTACTGTTGTATATGAAAGGACATTGTGCTCCAGATCAGTTGGGCTATGCAAAGCAGGCAGTTGGTTCTAAAACATGTCACCCTCGGTGTGAGTGGCAGAGGAGAGAAAAATACCAAATATACAAATTGACTTTGAGGTCCAAAATATTCTACTTACATTAAAAACTACAAAGTTCTTAGTACATTTAAAAAGGGTAAATGCACTTTGAAAGGGTTTAAAAAGGGTGATTTTTTTATTTCAAGAAAACATTAGTATAAGAAATGAATAAAGATATTTAAGAAATGTCCCATACAAAAATAAATGTACTGCACTTGATAACATGTGTTTGTAATGCAATGCTTGTATCTGTGATTCTGCTTTCATCGGCCTTGTGGAATTTTGTGTTGACTTTATATTGTTCATGATGGACTCATTTAAGTCTCTGAAAAACATGTTTTAGCTCAACTCAGTGTCTGAAAGTGTGCAGTGCAACTTCCATTCGTTTGAGTGACTATATCCTCAACCCAAGACATGTTCTTCTAAAACAAGACCTTAAATGGCAAACACAGAATCAACCAAATATCTGAAGATTAGTATGTCATGCTAAGATAATCCTAAATACAAAACCAACCAAAGAAAACCCCCTTTCTGCCCTGGTTGGTAAAACCACAGTCAAAGAGCTGGAGAGCTACAAATACTCAAATTCTTTGTTGGCATTTTAACAGGGTTTAACGTTCAAAACAGTATTCATTGAAGATTGTGGCTCCGCACATATAATGCTCTCAAACATGTATTTAAAGAAACACACAAGATGAACTTACAACTTAATGCTACCAAGTTGTCGGGAGTAAAATTGCAGTTGGGCAGAATTGATGTTGTATATGTACGGGTTGGTGTATGCAGACAGAAAGGCCTGTCTAGTGTTAAAAGTCATGGACGTATACTGCATGTTTGCATGGCTAATGGAACATGTGACTACTGTATAAAATACTTCTCCACGTGGTTGAACTACCATCACGCTTCTGTTGAGAGACCGCCACATCATGAGAAATTGATGCAGTGAGAAAAGTGAAGGAAATGGCATGCCTTTCCATCAAGTCAAAAGACCCCAACATTTGTGGGATCATTTAAGAGTGAAATGTGCTAAACAAACCAAGACACCCTATGGGATGTACCAACATTTAAGCGATGATGTAGACTACAAAAAAGGGCAAGATTTGGCAAAACAAATAGTACAAATAAAAGCTCCTTCCAAGTTGTTCAATGCCCAAGGTGATGTATTCAAATGTCTTGTTATGTCAGTGAAATATAGATAATATCATTTATCATAAAGTTAACGATTATTTTGTTTCTATAATCATCATTTAATGCACTTTGCATCAGTAAAATGTGTAATCTGGAATAAGTGTATGTTTTTTAAGTCAAACAGCAGTTCTTTGGAGTTTGGCTCATTTACTTCCCTGTCATGTAAACACTTGTATACGGTTCCATCTTTGCCACTGCCATATAAAAGAGATTCTGATTCTCAAAGGGAATATACCCGTTAAAGCACAGGTCAATTAAAAAGGACGCTTTGATGCTTCACTATCAGTGATTTATAAAGACAAATAGAAGCAATGATTTGTCTTTAACCACCTGCTACAGCCCACCATGCATCACTTAAAAGTATTTCATAAACATGCTGGCTGTGAGTCACACATTGGGGAAACATTGCTTCTTTATTCTTCAAGGTTTAAAGACCTTGTCGGATGTTTTGTTGCCCGTATCAAGAGCTGATCACTGCAGCCACATTTCTCACTTCCTCTCTGAGTCAGAATTGGGTCAGTTGGACTTTTTTCAAAAGCACTCTGTTCTTTTGCTCAGCCTGAAGCACCATGATGGGGGGTGAGATTTCATCCATAGGGCAAACAATAGGTGTAGGCAAATCATGTTACAATGTTTGTTTAGAAGGCTACTGATCTGAAATATCTTGATATGATATGATTTAAAGCCAACTATGGTGATCCATTGATGAATCTTTAAATACTACGTGCAAACAGCATTCAACCCAGGTTAACCCCTCGTAGATTGTCCTCAAATAACTCAAGAGAGTACCAGCAAACAGAGATAAACCAAGGGCAGTCTGAGGGATCATTGACAGAGTTCATGTAGTGGCTGAACAGTATTTTCCAACAGCACATAATCAATGGCAGACTCACTATATAAATAGCTTTTTGGTGTTAGCCCAAAAGCTGCGAAGATGATTTATTACAATGTGAGATATTAAATTAAACGCACATTTTCTGCTTTTTGAAATGTGATTTCTTTACTTCTCAATGTCCGTAAAATGAATGATTTTAAGGTGTGGACTAAACAAGAAAATTAAGGACTTTATCTTGGGCTTTTGGAAACATTGATGACCATTTTACAGACATATTATCAAGCTTCATAAATGTGAACACGTTATGGTTTCTTCTTCATCTTAGGAAAGTAAGATGTATATATATATGAGTTGTGGACTAAATGAGACATTTGGTAAACACTGATTGCCATTTTTTGGCCATTTTTGGCCATTTTATGGATAAATTGGATGATTGAGAAATAACAAACTGTATTATAACCATTTGAGGGTCACATTATTAAACCTATATGCATATTACGAACACAAATCATACCCTAAACATGCACCTTATGTATTCTTCACATTGTATAGTAGCCTTCACTATGAAGGACACTTCCATGCATCAAACCCTGCACTTTAGGAAGACACAACAAAAACAAAAACGTACACTTAAACACAAATCCATAGCAGGCTATCTGATTCCTCAACATAAATGTGAACTAGTTCCAGATCCAGAAGATGTAAAAAACAAAGAACATGGCTGCTGTGTGTAGATCCATCAGCGTACGACAGCAGAAGTGAGCCTGACGTGTAGCTTCCTCATCATTTGAATATTATTAAAATGAGCCTTTGCAAGTGGCTAATTACTGGACAGGCAGTATGCTCAGGCCTTTTGAATCCACCTTCTGCGCCGGGTGTCTGTTGGGGGTCCATCCATGGGGGGGGGTCGGGGGTATTGGAAAGAGGTGTGAGGGGAGGGGGTTGTCGGGGATAGCAGTGAACAGCCGGCATGCAATACGTGAGAGGCCCCATGTCTGCATCACACGGGAAAGAGGAAGAAGAAGAGGGGGGGGGGGATGTGCATGCACGGCAGTTATGGGAACTGCAGTGTGTTGAAACACAGTGACTGCAACACTGCACAACCCACAATCAAGCGATCTCTTTTCCCCTTTTACACACAGTTACATAGACAGAACCCCGCCACAGACACACAGTCACGTGGGTTTAAAGCACTCAAATGGACTTTACTCCGATGTGTCTGTGCAGATAATAAATACTGCACGACAACACTTCTCTGAGTCCTCATATGATCGCAGCCCTGATTAACCTTGAGCTTGCCAACCTGGGAATGAACGCTGCACTTGACACCTGCAGCTCATTACACCTATGCGGGTGTCTTTGGACTGGACAGACCACGTGCTTTGACAAATATTTACACCGTGAGAGAGCCTGCCAAGACTTTATCTGTCTTCTCTCGCAGTGTGTCACTCACACACACAATAGTACATGCCTGACACACTCTTTAAAGTGTCTCTGAAGACATCAACACAGCTAACCAGATCAGATATGGAAGTCTGATTTCACAAGACAAGCTTTTACAGCTCTGCAAGGGCTATTTCACTCTGACAGTACAAAAACCAACAACTAGATGGAGGAAACAAAGCCACTAAATAACACTAATGGTGGTGGTGATGAGTGGGTTAAGTGCAGCTCGTGAGTAGACAGCTGAACCTAAATCCCAGATACACAACAGCCCCCCCTCAATCCTCCCTCTTGTCCTCCTCCTTTTCCCCCACCCCTTCCTTTGCTGCCGTGCCGAGCAGGAACATGAAGCAGAGACAATATGAAGCCGGCGTAGAGCCCGAACAGCGGCGCCGCATACTTACGTGGTCTTAGACGTCCAGAGGGGGAAAGCAGACGTTAAGAGGAGCATGAGAGGTTCTTGCCGGCACAGCAGCCCACGATCAAACCGACCCCGATGGGTTGTATTCCTTTTTTATTTCTTGCAGTCTGCACAGGCAGAGCGAGCGCCGAAATACACATGCATGCATTCACACACAGCAAGCTTCTCACACACACACACGCAACAAACCTCCCCCAAACACAGCTACACACACATTTCTAATTTCTCTCGTGCCTCTTCTTATGGCCGACGCTTTCTGTTCTCTCCTTTTTCCTTTCTCATTATCTCTTGTCTGCTCCTCCCTTCCCTTTTTCAATATCCTCTTTCTTTCTCTGGGCTACACATGCAGTCAGCTTCTCTTCGCAGCCCCCACCTTCCCCCTCTCTCTCTCTCCATTCCCCTCCCTCTCGCGCAGCCTCTCCCTCCATCTCCTCTCTCTCTCTCCAGTGTGTGCAGAGCGAGAGGCCATTATCTGAGCCGCAGTGGGCACGTACGATGCAATGGGGGAGTGTGCAGTGAGCAGAAACAGAGAGCTGTGGGGGAGAGTCGCCAGTAGCGGCAGCCTAGGAAACAGCACGGTGCAGCAGAGAAAACCAATGAGAAAACCTCTCTGTGTGTGTGTGTGTGTGTGTGGTGTGTGTGTGTGTGTGTGTGTGTGTGTGTGTGTGTGTGTGTGTGTGTGTGTGTGTGTGTGTGTGTGTGTGTGTGTGTGTGTGCACGCCCTTCAGCACCACTGCATTAGATGATGCTACATATAACTGTGTGTTTTGTTTATCCACAAAAAAGCCCACTGTTGGCAATTTGGGCGATGACAGAATTTTCCAGTGCAGAGGCGAACCATCGACTGCCAAGCGAATGCACAACTCACAACGCCATCAACGGGGAAAAGGAGCGAAAGGAAAACAGCGATGTTATGTTTACGCATGTGTATGTCGTCTGGAAATGGGGTCTGCTTTTCCTTACGGAGGTTTTTGTTCCATGGTTTTAGCGAACAAGATTACGGCTCTGGGCCAAAGGACAAGCCACCGATTATGGTTCTCGGATCTCCATTTTCTTTCCCATTCACATCGGTCGCCTATTCGTCACTTAAAACCAAACGCTTGAATCCTACACCTGTGGCGGATAGTAATAGATCCTGTAAGCGAGGCAGCATGCACAGGAAAGAGGAAAGGATGGGAGATGGAGAGGGAGCTGCTGGCCCTGCCTCGAAGATCCAACGGACGAAGTGGAAGGTTGGGTTCGCTCTATAAACCATCGACAGTATAATGTCAAATCACTCTGTACACGAGGGGTGAAAATAAACGGAATAGCAATGGCGATATGATTACAAAAGAAGTCAAAGGAAGTACGAGAGGTGATGGAGAGGGGAGAGCCGATGACACTTCGACATCAGCAAGAAAGAGTAGCAGAATGGAAACACTGAGGAGAGGGAAGACAACAAGAGGATGTCTTAGGAGAAAAACAGTCATTATGTAAGGGCGCAAAGAAGATGATAAGGATGAAGAGCGCACAAACAGAAAGAGGGTCTGCTGTTGCAAAACGAAGACAGCCACCACAGAAACCATCACAGTTCGCTGAGGACTTCTATCCACCGGTAAATGTCCTCTAGTTTCCTCACCGTTGTCCTGCCTTGGCGTCTTTGCCATCATTATCATCATCAACGTCGCCATGATCGCTGGATGTTCCCTGTCAGCCCGGCCTTGTGGCGTCTCCTCTCTTCTCTCCAACATTGCTGGAGTTTTGGAGCAGATTAAACCGGGAGGAGGAGGAGGGGCGGAAACATGGCCGTCCTCCCCATGCAGATCGCTGTCAGCTCCTGCGTAGTGTTTTTCTCTTATGTTACAGAGCTACGCTGCGCTATGGCTGGATCAACTTCAGTAGCCTGTCCCTGCTTCTCTGACTTTGCCTTTTTCTCTTGATCTGTCGCTTTCTCAAAGTGCCTCTGCCTCTGTATTTGCCTCTCTGTTTTCTTTCCTGAGCCTTTTCTCCTTGTTGCATAGCTTATTGCATTTCCGTTCCAACTCTTTCTGACGCTCGCGCTCTGTGGCCCTGTAAACTGCACACTGTCTGTCCCTCTGTTGCCACACATATTCGTATATATACACACACACAGATGAGCGTCAAATCCTAGAGAGGAACACACCGCAGCCTAAGCTGTCTAAGGGAAGGAGAAGAGAAGTAGAGCATCAGGTCATGTGACCAGGGAGTGCCAATGAGCGAGGGGGAGAGCAATGAGCAAGAGAGGTAGGAAACACATGTGGCGGTGACGTAGCTGCACCGTCATCGTCGTCACGAGTGTCTCCCACCCTGACACTTGCCTTTGGTGGGTACATGTTTTCTTCTGTCACGTGCCCACTTACAACTATCACCCACAACACACACCAACGGGCACTCGAAGGCGTCATCCACCCGACTCACTCTCCAGGCTGCAATGACACAGCAGTTTCAAACTCAACACTCGCCTTAACCCCTGCGTCACATGCTCTCCGCGCACAGTTCCTCTTTTGAAAGAACTAATGAGCAAATCAGGCTTTGTCTGTCCTTTACCGCTACACAACACTTGCCACGATAAATCATAATGAAACAGTAAGGAGCCAATTGTCTTCCAAAGATTATGAAAACAAGATAATCCAAATAAAACAATTACCAATTTTACATATTGAACACAATCCGCCTTTCCTTAACAGCAGTGAATTATTGACTAGAGTCTGGTGAATATAGTTAGTCAGAATAAGAATAGCAGATATGGAAAAGCCATCTATTTGAATGGTTTTTGCCATAATGGAGCAACCCTACAAATAGTCCTGGCTAAAAGAGACCTCACAGTCATCACAACAACAACAACAACAACTGTGTATAAATGAATAGCAGCCTGCCTTTAACACTATCAACACCATGAAGAAACAGAAACGCAAGTTAAACTCTTGATCTACAATCGAGCTCTGAGTGAAAGTGTGACTGTCCAAATACATCGCTGAGTAAAACCAAGAAGTACAATTTGACCCAAACATCAACAAAGGAGAAACCTCCACGACAGGAAATCCACCTTTCTCACACGCGATGCAGAAGATAAACAACACACTGTAAATACAAAACATGTGATCAACATTTACTGTTTAGGTGGATATAAGTTCACACAAATGTAGCCGGTGTTATTTCAGGAAAGCCAGGTGTTTACCAGAGCCCTGCTTGACAAAAGATCAGGGGTTTACCAGATATTACACCATAGTATGCTTCAGATGTTTTCATGTTTTGTCCATGAGAGCTGTCCTGAAATCACCTCCTGAGCACAAAGGGTTACTCTCATCTAGATAGCAGAACAACGTGACTGACTACATTATAACTGAAGGGCACACAGTCTGTCGTCTAACTTGTAAATCAACTGTGTTCACTAAGAGTTCAAGAGAACAGTTCAAGTATTTCAGAAGAATATTACTTACGGCAAACCTGCTGTAACCCGGCATTGAGAAAGAAGAAAGTACAACACACTCTCGCATGGATCATCTCACAATCTAGTCAAATGATCGTCCAAATGAGTTGTTTTTTTTCACGCCTTCGTCTCTTTCTCTCTCCATCTTTCTCACGTCTCTCGCTTTCTGTTTCTCAGCATCACAGAGGAAAGGTTTAGGTTACAAGTAGGAGTGATGACTGACATGAGAAATCCACCCTCAGCCGTGTGTGCCGGGTCGAATTGCATATGACTAACCCTGAATCATCTTTTTTCTATTCTTCTCAACAAAGTCCTGACGTAAAAACCCTTCTGTGCACCCGAAACAAACTTCTTGTATTTAAATGTTACCAACACACCAACATAGTGGGAGGTCTGTGTGTAGGAGACACATGAAGAGCCAAAACAGAACAACCCATTCAGGTGAATAATATTTACAGGAACTGCTGTGATTTCTCTATTTCTGCAGATTCATCACCTCTCATCAGTGGGAGGGTTAAGGCATCAAGCAGCTCACATGAGCTCATGACATGAGGGTCTCCCCCCCACCCCCTCCCATCTTTCCCTGTCAGCTGACTCCCCCTCCTGCTCCCATCTACTTCCATACACCCTCACCCCACATTACCCTGCAGTCTAAAGCCATCAAGGTCATCAGATCTGACACACTTCGACTTTCCTTCTCCCCTCTTGTTTTCTTCTTCTCCTCTTCCCACCCCCAACACACACTTTCATGTTTCCCATCACACACACACACACACACACACACACACACACACCACACACACACACACACACACACACACACCCACACACATACCATGTATACATCACTTCAGGGGACATTACATTGACTTACATGCATTTCCTGGAGACTTATCCTAACCTTAACCATAACCAACACATGCCTAACCCTAACCCTAACCACCCTAAAAGTAATGATTCCCCTCATGGGGACCTCCAATTTGTCCCATAAGGGAGGTGAGTCCCCACACGTGACTGTGTAAACAGATTTAGGTCCCCACAAGTATAGTAATGCTAGGCCACACACACACACACACACACACACAAACACACACACACACACACACACACACACACACACACACACACACACACACACACAGGCAACACATGCAGAGGAGCAAACTTCAGTGATGTTCTCTCCCCGCACACATACATGCTAGAGTGCCGACAGTATTGGATTGTTCAGCGAGGTCAGCGGGTTTGGGCAGGACGAGAGGCTGCAAATATTTAACAGAGCAGAAAACAAAGTGTTTCTGCCTGGTTTAACAAATACAGATGAATACATTACTGGGCTATCTTATGGTTTGTTATTATTTTTGCCTAGTTTTGTCTTTTTTATAAGGAACACTGAACAACGTTTTATAATGTCGTACATAGAGACTTCTTTTTTGTGTTGAATATTTAGTCTCTGCACATGTGGATAACATTCACTATCTAGATCAGTGGTTCCCAAACGGTGTGCCGCGGCACACTGGTGTGCCGCGAGACAAGTCCGGGTGTGCCGTGGGATTTTGTGACAACCATGTTATTATTGCAATATACAACTACACAAAAATAATTATTTAATTTACTATATCAGTACTTTGTAGGTTTATATGTACGTAATCTGCGCGATTTGCGCGTCCACATCTCCACGTGCAGTGCTGCATAAACATGGCTGAGTCAGCGATAACTTTCGAGGGGTGGAGGTATGCCCATTATTTTGAGTTCGTCCGAAGAATAGACAGGAATGTGACGGTGAGGTGCAAACTGTGTCCAGGCCAGAAGCTGTTATCCACTGCTGGAAACACCACGTGGTCAAACCTCAACACACACCTGCAAAGAACACATGCTAAGGTGAAGCTACCGCACACGCTATTTGTTGTTTGTTTATATCACGCAGTCTGTTCTTCTTCTCTGTCTTCCGGTTGTTGCCTGTTTTGAATGACAAATACACACTACCGCCGCCTGCTGGTAAGGAAAGTTATTGCCACTCACGCATGCGCAGTTCGTACGTGCTCGGCGAGTAAAGTAACGAGTAAAGTAACGAGTTACTTTATGTAGATTGTAACGAAGTAGTGTAATATATTACTTTTTTTAAAGTTACTTTTTTTTTTTAAAGTTACTTTTTTAAAAGTAATATGTAATATATTACATTTTTTTAGTAACGACCCCATCTCTGGAGTTGGCGTTCTCTACTCTGGTTTACATGAAGAACAACAGGAGGTCACGGCTCTCTGTTGAACAGGACTTGCGAGTGGCCCTCTCCTCAGTGCCACCAAGGATTCAAAAATTCTGCGCGCCCCGACAGGCACATGTATCTCACTAATTTGTAAGTCGGCAAAAATATTTACAATAGCACATGTTTCAATGCTGATTGCTGAAATGTTACATTTATAATTTGTAGTTCAGGACCATGGACAATGCAGCTTCCTTGCATTGACAGTTCTCTGTGCTGAATTTCTGCTGAGTTTCCTTTGCCTCATTTTTAATTTTGTGACCTGTCTGGTTTAAATGAGTGTGTTGCTGCTTTGATGAAGCCTAATTTGATAAAGTTTCAAATTCATTTCTGAAATATTTCGTTAATAAATATTTCATGAGTAATATAGTTGTCTTTGTCACATTTTATTTGGCATTAGTAAATAATTATGCACATTTACAGATATTTTAAATAATATGAGTGATAACACGTGTTATAAGGGCTATTCTGCACTATAGGTGTGCCTTGAGATTTTTACTTGTCCTTTGGTGTGCCTTGGGCACAAAAAGTTTGGGAACCACTGGTCTAGATCACCTTTATACAGTATACACAAATTGTTGTCGCAATATTAAAATTCCATGGTGTCATTTCAACTGTTTGATATATTGCCAGATTCAATTCAAGATTTAAACGTCATTTTATTGTCAGATCGCAAGTTTTCTGGTAATTTAATAAATAAATAAAGAACAACCACATGGTAAAACCCACGTTTGTAAACCCCTGTGTGCTTTTAATACTCGACAAGTACAGTTTGTTCTCATTATGTTAAGAAGTTTTAAAGTCCAAACGACAGAAGTAGCCCTACTTTTAGATAAACGCTATTTTAGTATTTGATGGGCTGAGAGTGTCGGATGGTTTTCGCATGTTGTGCGCTCTCCAAGTTAGCAAAACAGCGACTTTAAGTTAAAGATCAGAATATTAAGCGCTGTCCAAATGACGCAATACCTCTTTTAACGCAGTTTGGCTGCTTTTATCGTTTACATATGAAGCTTCACCTTGGTATTTCCACCTTGCATCTTTTAGTCGGTCCATGTGTCTTTGTTGATGAAAATCCAACAGACAATGATCGACAGTGCCTGTTTTGAAAAGCATATTGAGGCTGATCTGAAAAGTGTGTTTGAAACCACGAATGAATGGTTAATTTGAATCTGTTAAAAGACTGTTAACATATTATTCATGTAGCTTCTCCTTGTTATTTCCACATTGCATCTGTCTGTTTCGCTCTCTCTGTTTTTGATCTTATTGCCAAAACAAAATGGTAGGGATAGTAAGAAGTGAAATAATTGGGATTACATTTTTTAATTGCATATCAGGGCTTTTTTTACAATATAGCCAACATCCGAAAAGTGTACATGTAAAAAGGAATGTACACTATCTTTGAATCTGTTAAAAGACTGTTAACATATTGTAGCTTCTCCGTGTTATTTCCACATTGCATATGTCTGTCTCTCTCTCTTTGTTTTTGATAT